CAAAAAATTATTCCAAATTTAAGCAAAAAATAGCGCTTCTTGACCACCTATTCGGATTCTACCCAAGGAAATCCTGAAATAATAGCTTAATTTTAATGCCATCATGTGCAGCTGTGTTTCAGCTATCTTCGTGCAAATTTTGCTGATATGCCAACGAAATTAACTTGCTCAAAAGTTCAAAAAGCATTGTTTTATTGGCCTATTTTTGGAAATTTTTTGCGATTTTACCCGGGGAAACTCAGTCTTATCATTTCAAAACCACTTTTAATCGATTTACGGTTAAAAATAGGTCTAGAAAGGTGGAGTCCCTAGCGTATCGGTGGCACTGTCGCTCGGTGGCACTGTCGCGGCACTGTCGCAGCACTGTCGCGGCACTGTCGCGGCACTCTCGTGGCACTCTCGTGGCACTCTCGTGGCACTATTAAGTTGATATTTCTATTCATTATAATATTTAAAAGTATATTATTATGACTAATATACTTAACATTTATAAAAGGTTGTGGTTGCCACATGTTGATGTAGCATGGAGGATCACTGTTAATCTATACAATAAAACAGCAGAGCATGACCAATGACAAAACAGATGATTCAAGAATGGCCGAGTGGCCTTCGGGTGTATTGAAACGTGGAATTATAGACAAAGAACAGCATTATGATGCATTATTACCGGTGTAGTATCTAACGCTAAAGAATCTAACGATTCAACCGTTTAATTTTCGTTTTATAAATATGCAAAGGCAGTGTTAAGTTGGTTTTTGGTGAATGGTGGCAAAATATAATACACATAATACACATAATACACATAATATATATAATACACATAATATATATAATACACATAATACACATAATACACATAATACACATAATACACATAATATATATAATACACATAATACACATAATACACATAATACACATAATACACATAATACACATAATGTACATGAACAGTAATTATAATCTCCATCTTGCAACTACTGCTAATATTAATACAAAGAGGTATCAGAAATATCTTCAACTCTATTGTGTGGTAATTACGACCCCAACCTTAGCACAAAGTCCCAACTTTAACCGTGTAAAGTGCAGTGGTATATTCATTATCAACGATACCTCATAAAAAATACAGTTACAGTCCGCGCAATACCTTGCGTAGCAATCAATATCTGAAATGATTTCCTCTCTTAACGCGCACGTATCAAACAAGTTGAAGTAACATTTACGCTTCATATATTATGACGCAGTGAAACTAACGGACTACGATGTATGGGACTTGCCACCCCATGACCCCATGGCAACATTAAAATATATACTGACTCAGTTACATCGTTTCCTGTTAATATAAAATTGGCCGTTACAAATCGAACTGGGATCTGGCAATACTACACCTTAGATCAATAAAAGCTGCAGGGACGTAAAACATGCTATGATATTTGCATTCTGTTGGTCAAATTATTTAAAACCTAATGTAGTTCATTTATGCTTTTTAAACGATTAATCTAAGATAGTGTCAATTCGCGGATAATGGTGTTGCGTCTAATAACACTACGCCTTTAAGGACTCACGACTTTTTAATTAATCCAGCTGATGTGACATGTCTGCTTTTCTCGGTGAACAATGTTTTCACAATACCTGGAATGTGAACCGTCTCATACCATTCCGATAGTTAAAATCTATTATCATTTAATATTTTGGAAAGGCAGTGCCAGTAATATAATTATAAAACATTACAATTCATATCAGTGGTGGAAAACTACACCAATTAAAATATTTAGTCTACAAGTACAAACCAACATCTCGAAGTCTTAAAACTTCCTCGCAATTGGAGTTTTTTAAAGTATTCCATTTTAGAGTGAGTCTGCTGATGAGTAGTACAATAAAACTAAACTTAGTTATGGTTACTGGTCCTATTTGCCGTGAACCTTTGATTGTAGGTTTATAACCTACCTAGACGCGCACCCAGTTGGACTTGTCGACGGTCGTTGGAACAAATATTTTACGAGTATCACCCGTTAAACTTTTGACAACATTCGACTGTGCAAATTCTATCCTCTTTCTATAATACTTTATACAAAAAGCTGTCCCTTACTGGGCGGCGCTCAGCCCACAGCCTGTCATTCCGCCTAATCTCTATTCGGATGATTATGAACATAAATATAATAGCCGGGGGTCCCCAGGTATTGGTAAAGCTGTCCCCAGCAATTCGGAGTAAGAGACGATTGTAAGCACACAGGGGCCATCTACTTTAACTTAGGGCGTCCGGCAAATAGGGAGGGGGGTGGTTTTGGAATTTCGGACAAATCCAGACAGGGGGAGGGTGGTTTCTGAAAATCCGGACGTCCGGAAATGTTGGCAGAATTAACAAAAAAGTCCTATTTATTTCAACTCTTTGAATAGAATTTTATTTCAACTTTTTGATTAGATTATCAATGAATTTGAGTTGGTTTTATTTGTACTATTAAAATAGCTAAAAATCCGGACGTCCGGCGAAGGGGGTGGTTTTGAAAATTCGGACACACCCGGACAGGGGGTGGTCTGAAAATCTGCAATTTTGGCGGACGTCCTAAGTAGATGGCCCCACAGTGACAGATACCATGCCAGAGTCAAAGATAAGGTGACTGACGGAAAGGAACAGGGAAAGTAGAAAGTATAAAGTAGAAAGACAAAAGATTTACAACTTTGTAAGAGACGCTTTAATTTGAGAAGGCCTCCAAGAAAGACGTTTAACTCTAAGGAACATGTCAGAAAAAATGCGATTAAGTGATTTTTTACAAATTAAAGTCTGGACCGGTTTGGGAGAATTATAATAAAGTGGGTGTGAAATATGCGTTCTGGGAAACCGCACTATATTACGACATTAATTTTGTACAACTTGAGGTACCAAATTTATCAAAATCAGACAAACTAATTTCTGTCAACAATTGGCGCATATTGCATAGACTAAATTCCTAAACCTCATAAGTGTTATTCTGGTACATGTTCAGTTAAACGAGTGTGGATTACAGTTGCTAAACCACTATTATAGCAAGCAGTGCCTCAGATTGTGCAACAACTATGTCCATGGCAAGATCTGCAGAAGAATTGAACGTTTTACTAGCCCCCAACTATTTTGGATCTTCTACATCCAAAAGTATTATTCCTTGAAATCGTCGAATTAGATTTCCCGGTACTCTGGCGCACCCACTTTAAAAGCAATTCAATATAGCTAGCCCAGTAAGATGTTGTAGCGCGATGCACTACTGGGTCGCGCCGCGCATCAAATAATTCTTTTCGCAACCAGTAGATCGGCGAGATGCACCACTTAACTGTGCACCACTTAACTGTGCACCACTTAACTGTGCCTCACCGAGCTGCGAAGGATTGACATCGTGAATCAAAGTAAAATGGATAAGATAGCCCAATTATAATAATAATGTCAATGATATGCGTTCGCGTTATCGGCTTGGTCCCAATTTGATTACATTTACAATGGATTACATGTAAACGTTCACTTACGCTCAGCAGCAGTTTTATATTAGCATCCTCCGAAAAGCTGCAGGGCGTGCCGGATCAATATGATATGAATAGGCAGTAAGTGGCCCAACGTTGTTTGTTGGCGCCCCTCCCCTCTTAAAGTAGAAACGTAAAATTAGACAAATTAGGTGATTTAAAAAAAAGGATACGCCGGTAAAATCTCTAAAAAAGTGTCTTTCTAGGGCTTTTTCTTGCAGCCGAACAAAACGATTTTACACAAACCCTAATCCCATGTGACGATTAGATTTGGACCGTTCTGTGTACATTTGTAAATGCTAATGTTGATTCTTATGGTAAGTATTTAAAGTTAAAGTGCACAAATCTGTACTTTAAATCTTTATTATACTATGTACTATCTTCACAATTACTTTAAAACCAAAACTGATTCGAATCCTAAAGCATAAACAGCTGAAATATCGTTTAACAAGCCTGTCACGTGCGCGCGTCTGACAAAATGCAATGGCCATGGTTATTTTATCATAACTCGTCAAGAAATGATTTTCATGCTAAGTAATAGGTCTTATTCGAAATCAGCATAAAAAGTACATTAGTACATAGTATGACTTCCTTTCACAATCCCACAGCTTAATAAGCTGCGCTTATTCATATACCAAAAACGTATTTACTGGGCGGCGCTCAGCCTGTCATTCCGCCAAATCTTTATGAACATAATAGCCTGGGGTCTCCAGGTAAAAACGTATAAGCATATCCACAGAACGGTTCAAATCTAATCGCCACCCTAATAGCGCTAATCCGGCCCGAAGCTATCCATAACCCTAAATAATATAACCCGAGCTCTATAAGTATAAACAACCAAATTCGTGTCTAACTAATTGTAACTAGCAATAGCCTGTCACGTACCACGTACGTGACCAAAACAGTTTAACTCTCCAGGGAAGCATTTTACCCTACGTCCAATAACAAAAAATACACCGAACTAGATCACCTTCATAGCCTCAGAGTTAACGGGTGATACTCGTAAAATATTTGTTTTAAATATTCATGATTCAACTTCAAGACCGTCGACGTCAGACGTGACGAGTCCAGATCCAACTTGGCGCGCGTCTTTGTAGGTTATAATTTAATTATAAGTGAGCTAACCAATTTTGTTAAAATTGGATCAAGGGAAAGTTACTCAATACGCATTTGTTTCAAGAATTCTGTGCTGGCCGAAATTAGCGCTAAAAAACCATCCTACAGTCGCGGCGCGGCACACTGTATGATGGCACACTACCTATACACTACCTATATACTATTATAAACCTACAACATAGTCTGGAAATCTACCACATACATGTTTTGTCTGGCTTGTAGGTTTATAACTTACCAGGACGCGCGCCGAGTTGGACTCGTCGACTAATATTATATATGGAACAAATATTTTACGAGTATCACCCGTTAATGTTTGGCCTAAATCTTAAATGGATAGATTATCAGAATATTACCGATAATGCAATTGTACATTGATTCTAAATAAAAAATTTAAAGACAGAAGTTATATCGAATTGAAAACGAATTCACTACTGTGAAAATCAGCGACTGAGATATTTCTGGCGATTTTCTACATGTTTGGTGGTGAATTGGCCTCAGTATCCAAACTTCAACCGCTCCCACTAAATCGCTCGCCCAAATTAAAAAAAATTCTTGTGAAGAGGCCCTGAGGTTGTTTAAGGTTATTTGAAACAAATGCTTTACGAGTATCACCCGTTAACAGACTATGCAGTATCAACCGTTGACAGACTATAAATGCAGTATTTAAGTCAATCATGACGCGACGCATGTTATGCACGTACGTACGTACCGACGTACGTTATATACGAGCGCGCGCAGTTACAGTGCATGGAATAATATGGACTTTAATCATAGTTGAACTCCAAAAACTAGCAATAGACGTGGGAATTTCCTTATTTACTTTGGCTCAATGAATCTTTTTCAATCATGCATGCGAATAAAGAAGTCTGGATTTTTCGAAGCAGACTCTGTCAATACAAAGAAGTAAAACAGCTATCTTACAATTGGCAAATATCAAGACTAGAAAATTCCCCATTTTGACAACACGAAATAAATAGAACAATTTATGTAGAGGTTAACTGTCATCGTAACTATTCCAATGTAAAATAGCTCAACTGAGGACCGAGGAAACTAAATAAATCAAACATGGACAGAAATATATTACTTCTAACAATTACATAGAAGCGCCAATCTGGCTTTAAGTTACGGTGAATTTAAATAATAAGTTTTTATATCTTTAGAGTTTCCATCTATTTAACTGTAGCTGACAGTGCAGCAATTGACCCCGTTTCACTTCAAGTGACTTCAAGTGACTTCAATACATTTACTCAAAGAGAAGGACGCATTCTTGAACTGTTGCTCAACAGACTTCAGCTTTGTAGGTGAAACGCATTTGTTTCGAGACCTGTATCAACCATGTTGCATCAGCCACGCAACATATTCAAATATTTCTACGTGTTTAAACTTTAAACAAATAACCTCTCCAGCAGGAAGTAATGGTGTCTAATCATGAAATTGATGTTAGAAAATACCATTCTCTTAAGACGCACTGTCTAATGTGCTACATAACTGTTCTTCATTATTGCAAAACAACGCAATTCCAATTAACTGGGTGTCTTACAAAGGTAATACTGGAGACATATAACATTATTAAATGATCCAAAATATGAGAGCTCCAAAATATAAAGCTCAGATTCCCAATCATAATCTAATTTATCTAGACCCAATTTTAAGATTCCAGCTTAAATATTGCATATATAATACTTTATCACCATTGCAACAACTTCTATCTCAAACATTAAGGTTGATTAATTAATCATCTAATTAGTTACCGTCACTAGTTAATAAACTAATTAGGCCACATTATCTACTTTCCCAGCTTTTCTTTAATCCACGCCTCTATCCTCCCCTTAAGCTCAGTTTCAGGAATGAGCATGTCAGCAGTAAGATGCTGTCTGTTAAAGGGATCTGTAGAGCTGTTGAGGAGATGTCTCTCTATTATAGGCTTGTCCATGATAACGCCGCTAGGAAGCAAGACTGGTTCTCTCATCATGGTGCTCATCAGCGGATCTCTGAACTCATCTGGCGCGTCCTCAAAGTCCAGGTCCATGGCTTGTTTCTCCTCCCATTTCTCTTTCACTTTGTCAGCAAATTCAGAAAATGCTGCTATTTCATATGATGATTTGATGGCAGCATTGGTAAGTCGAGTAATGGCTAGCGTGAATAGGTCTGGTTTGTAGGAACGCTCGTCACCTGCTACTGCGTTCAAGAACACGGGACTATCCAAGTTAATATAGATATCTGTGATTTGCTGCACAAGCTCCTTGGGTTGGAACCCATATTTCTGAGGATCCTGCACTTTGAGATCAGCGCACTTAGGTCCACACAGCTGCTGTAAGTTGTAGTTCAACATGGCAGCCACACGGTCTATAAGAGCAGCACGCAGGAATGGTCCCTGGATACTCTGCGTGAGATAGTGAAACATTTGCACTGTTTCGTTAGCCAACGTCAGGTAACTCTTACATTGTCGCTCATCCTGCTTCAACTGGTTCAGCTTCTGTGTTTTACTTTCCTCGGGGAGACCCTCCCATTTACCCGTATCTGACATGAGCTTCTGTGTATCACGGATAGACCGCAACGAGTCTATACTTTCATCCAGCAGGAATGTAGTATCATTCAACAACATGTTGATAAACCTGGTGTACTTTGTGTTCTCTAAACATTGCATTAAAGTTAGCCTGTGAGTGGTGTTAGAAGCGAACCACAAGGTTTTAGTGATGATAGAAATGTGGTATCGTATGGAGAACTTGTCATAGAACTCACTGGAAGTGCCTGTACTCTCCACCTCTGTGTAAAAGTCGAGCAGGGCGGGTAACAGGAACTGCTCCGAACTAGAGGGAGTTATTATCTTCTCGAAGAGGGGGGTACTAGTACCTTGTACATCAGGACTGTGCATGTAGATCACCTCTATCAGTTTACTCACTAGATAAGGGTTCCTAAAGAAGTGGGGGTGACACACACACACCTGTATAAGTTGGCACACTGGTGCTATGTTCACGTTACCCAGCAGGTTGATACGGAAGCGAGACGACTGTATCAACACGTCTGCTATATCGTCCAGAATGAACTCAGGTAGGGTGTCAAGAAGTTTGTTGTTGGGGAGTTTCTCAGTACCACAGTTGGCCCACAGTCGATCAGGGTCAATAACTGATAGGACCCACAGGCACACTTTGCCGTAAAACTCAGCGAACTTTTGCAGCAGTTCTGTCTCAAAAGTCGTTATTTGTGCTATTTTCTCAGCCTTCTTCCAGCTTTCTAACTTGGCCTCTCCTATTTTAAGCTGAAGTTCAGCCCGACTGCCGGCTGCAGGACGACCATTTCTGGTAGTATCTTTGATCATGTTAGTGAGATCCTTAATACGCTGTACACGAGTAACTTGTTTCCTGAGCGCAGGAAGGAGAGATAAGTGTACCGAATATATTGCCATTAAGAAGCATTCAGTGCTAAAATTAGGCTGTCTTACTCCAATGAGGGTTTTTGAAAACTCGTCAGCCTCCTCAGATGTAGCGTTAACGCGGGTAACTTCACTAAAATCTAGCCTGCAGTTTGGACTTTGGAAATAGTTTTTATCCACCTTTTCCACCACCACCTTAGCAGACAAGTCGAGGATAACAGACAAAAAATTCAGCATAAACCCATCTCTGGACAGAACGTCCTCTTTAGCCTGAATGCCACTTTTTTTAGCATTCATGTTCAATACACGGGCAAAATAGCAGAGGACCTTATCACGATTATCTTTAGGAAGTAGCAAGTTGTAAACAATCTTAAACATAATGTCACGTGTTTCCCTGACGATGGGAGGTAGGTCGTGTTTTAACTGTTCCACCTCTAAATCCTTGTTCTTCTCTATCTTTGTATTCTCCTCAAAATACCCAGACAGCCCCAACAAAGGTCCCAGAAATGAATAATTTTCCAACTGTCTGCCGTTTTTTATAAGTTCTGGACACCACACCTCCAACCCCGAAATGAGGGAAACAATTGGTCTACATGCGGTTATTTTGATAGCAGTCAAACATTCGAGTGCATAGTAAACATCGCAAACATTAGCGTCAAGAATGTTGTTGTTCTTGGCTCTGCCCATGTGATCGAACAACAGTGTGTTAAATATATGATTAAAGGTGCCAGTATTCTGGGTAGCGCGAATTAACTGCTCTGCAAAACGCTCCCGTTCAGGGATTGGTAGAGGGAAACTTTGGTGGTTTCTGATAAACAGACAGGAAAGTGGCGAGGATTGGATTAGACCCGTTTCTAAATCACATCCCAACTTTCCGGTCATCACGAGGCCTAAGTTCCTGAAATTAAATTAATTATAATCAACAGGTTATTTGCTAAGTTCCTGAAATTAAGTTAATTATAATCAACAGGTTATTTGCTAAGTTCCTGAAATTAAGTTAATTATAATCAACAGGTTATTTGCTAAGTTCCTGAAATTAAGTTAATAATAATCAACAGGTTATTTGGTGGCATGAAATGTTTTGGCAGGACATACATTATTAACAAATTCATAAGTAATATATAAGCTACAAATCAAAATTAGATTTAATACCTTTAAATAACTTTAAATCCTAGTTTTCTGACCTCATAACAGTTGCAGTAAAGGAGTTGCAGAACTCTTTCCATTGGTCTCCAGATCCAAGATACAGGTTACCACTTATCCGCTCCCACACATCTACAAGGTACACCACTGCTATCCTGGGAGAGTTCAACTAATTAGTAATTAGTTGAGTAATTAGTAATTACTTAATTATCTAATCAGCTAATTGAGCTACAGTGATCACATTAACTACCTTACACTGAAGGTACAGTCTTCTATATGCCCTTCCTCAGAATTGATAATCAGCTTATTCAAAACTCAATACTTAATTAACATACAAATTACTTAACAAGACCCGACCTGCTGCTGTTTTTAGTAACTATCTTGCGTCTGAGCTCCATGTTCTGAGCTATAGAGCTGGAGGTGTCACGTGGTAGGACCTTCTTCTCCTCCATGTAGATCTGTGTTATGATACACACCAGCTCCTCCTCTGCATATTGCAACATGTCACGTGCACTCAGTAACGGCTGTAGCTTGTCATGATCATAAGGGATCTCTAGTACGTTGTTTATAAACGTTTCCATCTGCTGTTTTGAGTCCCCCATCACTAGTTACCTCCTTCTCTTTAGCGGCCACACACTTTAGCACTGATACCTCTTATTTCATTTCATGTCATTTTCTGGTGTGGTATTATCCGAGTGAAGAACATGGGTGAAATATTATAGGAGTACACATTAATATTGTCCCAGAAACAAGACGGGGACTGGGTAGGTTACACAATATTTATTTAACATTTGATTCCCTTATATTAACCAATGGAGAGTTAGTGTCATATAATGAATATTTTTTAGTCATGTTTATAAGATTGATTATTTAATATTCCTTTACAGTAAAACAACAAATAGATCTGTTTCAGACCAACTAGGTATTATATGATAACACACATAGCTCAATAAACACGAAAAGTTACAAAAAGTATTAGAAATTCGCCACGAAAAATAACTAACATTACTAAATTTACACTTTTACACATACTAACAATGTAATTAACTTCGAAATAATATACTTATTGTAACACCCACTCGTTCAATTTAGTTCACATTTAATCTAAAGTTTAATAAATCGTTAAATCATTTAAGCTTTTATAATATTATCAAGTACTAATGATTTGTTATTTAACAGTTTTAAATTTATATTTATGAACCCGTGCCACTATAATAGTCAATACTAATGGATATGGTAACAATTCTCAAACCCCAGCTAGCGTAAGTCTTGATTAATATGCACAGTAGATCTAGATACTGGTGGAGAGGTGAATCTTATTTTAAACTATTCAAATTCCTTCATTTACCAATTAAAACTCTGAATTGCTGTCACGTGTCAAAACAAATATGATTCACCTCTTCACCTGTAACAAACCAATAAAGCAATAATACTAATAAGTAAAAAACCTAAGCCATCATAAGTAGGTACTTAAAATAGTATGAAGGGGGCCAAGGTTACAGGTAACTTTAGACTTTTAGAGTCTAGAGATGGACAATGGACTTAGATGTACAAAAATATTTAATAAGTTACACATTAACTGAATTAGGGAAATTTACATATCCCCAAATTACAGCCTGGGCCCTGATAAAAACTTATTATAATAACTATTGACTTATTAATTAAGGTATTTTGATGAATAGAATAAACGGTTAATAGGCGTAAAATTGCCTTAAAAGAACAGTCACAACATAAAAGTAAGAAACTTAAAACATAAATTTACAATAAACAACTTATAAAACACAGTATTAAATTTAACACCCCTAAACAGTAAACATGTACATATAAATGCTAAACAAATCCATTAAATCTCTTATTGTTCGGATTGGAACTTTCTAAAATGTTATAAGGTTTTTTATGAACGTCCCTCTCGTGGCGCGATATAACAAAGCTCCGAGCAGAAACATAAGGACAAAATGAGCATTTGAAGGGTTTTTCTCCGGTGTGTTTCCTCCTGTGTTGAACCAGGTTACATTTAAGTCTAGCTGCGTAGGAACAATGCTCACATTTAAAAGGCCTCTCATTACTATGTGTTTTCTGATGCCCAATAAAATGTGATTTATGTGCTGTAGCGTACGAGCACTCAGAACATTTAAAGGGTTTTTCACCGGAGTGGATTCTTTGGTGTGCGATGAGGTGGCTTTGGTGGGAGCAAACGTAGGGACACTCAGAGCATTTGAGGAGATTATCAGCTCGGGCCATGCTGTGTACTTTCTTATAGTGTGCAGAGACATTAGACTTGCGAGCTGACGTATAGGAACAGTCAGAACATTTGTGAGGTTTCTCACCTGTGTGAGTCAATTGGTGAGCTTCAAAACGAGATTTAATGGCTGATGCATATGAACACTGAGGACATTGGTAACGCTTGTCACCTCTGTGAGAGTATTGGTGAGCTGTTAGTTGAGTTCTATCAGTGGTAAAGTACAGGCAGTCAGGACAATTGAACGTCTTATCACCAGTGGCATGAATTTTCTGGTGATTTACAAGATGGCATTTCCTGGTAGAAGCATAAGGGCAATCCGAACATTTGAATGGCTTTTCGCCGGAATGAATTCTTTGGTGAGCAATGAGATTTGATTTACGGATTGAAGCATAATGACAATCCGGACATTTGAATGGCTTTTCGCCAGAATGAGTTTTCAGGTGCCTTACAAAATGTGATTTGTTCGTTGAAGCATAAGAGCATTCCTGACAAACCCAGGTTTTATCAGTTGAAAGGAATCTATGCCCTGTAGATTCTTCTACCTCAATATCAGCCTGGTTCATGTCTTCTTCATTAGGAGTCTCTATTCTGAGCACATATTCTTCCTTGCTGCTGTGATCAGGATTAGGAAGATGAAGATGACTGATAACTTGGAATATCTCGTCTTCTGTGCTAATCATCGTCATATGTCTTCCTTTCCTAAGATTTTTATATGTTGAATAATTTTAATGAGCGGGGGTATCCACTATGGTGTAAAATGGTGTAAAATGGTGAATGATTTTTATGGTGAATCGGGTTTCCAAATTGTAAAATTTCACCATTTGTCGCCATTTTTACAATTTTTTCTACAAATATATTTGCCTTCTAGTTTTAGTTTTGACATGGTGTTTAGGTGTTATCACTCCAAAAAAAATTGTTGGGTAATTAGAAACGATTAACTCAGATTTTGAGGATATAATATAAAGAAACAATTAAACATGTGTTTCATAAAATTTAAAGTAAGTCTAGGTTTTACAATTCGGAAACTCGATTCACCAAAACTACAAATCACCATTTTTCATCAAAACTAGTGAACACTGAACATGGTGAGAAAGGTACATTGAAAATGGTAACTTTAAGTGAAAATGATGCAGTGAGAAATATATATTTCTCTGATTGTGATAGGGTTCTGAGAGATAAAGAGAAATGGAGAGAAAAGGCTAATGAATCTGGCAATGAGTCTGATCTTGAAAAGTTCCGTCAGTACCGCAAAGATTTTAAACGCATAATGAACGAAAAGATGAGACTCAGTGTCGAAGATGATTCTGATTCTGCCCTTATTTCCAAAAAGTTTTGGACACACGTGAAATCAAAGTCTAAGTCGACTAGGATACCTGAAACGGTCCGATACGGTGATCGTTTTAGGAACACACCAGTTGAACAGGCTAGCTTATTCAATGAATACTTCTATCAACAATTCTCCTCAAGTAGCTCATATGACATTGACATCGACATGAGCTCCAGTAACAATTTTATGGATTTGAGATTTCACGTGTTGGATGTTTTGTTAATTTTGAAAGGGGTTAAACCGGGTAAAGCCGCAGGTCCAGATGGTATCCATGGCACTGTGTTAAAAAATTGTGCGAGCACTCTTGCAAAGCCTCTAACCATTATTTTCAACAGCTCTTTTGTGACTGGATGTGTGCCGGAGGAATGGAAGCTTGCTTCTGTTGTTCCGGTACACAAGAAGGGTGAAAAAGGATCTGTTGAAAATTACAGACCCATCTCACTGACATGCTTAGTTATGAAAGTTTTTGAACGTTGTATTTCGAAAGAGTTGCTCGCAGCTTGTGAAGGGTTAATCGACTGTAGACAACAAGGTTTTGTGAATGGGAAGTCTTGCACTACCCAGATGGTCCCATTCACAGACAACCTTGCACTGGCCCTGAACAATAAGTCAAGATCCGACATTGTTTATTTTGATTTTGCTAAGGCATTTGACAGTGTATCACATGACTTAATCCTTCGCAAGCTAAAAAATTTATATGGTATTGATGGTCTGATGCTTAGATTTTTAAAGTCGTATTTACAAGACAGACGACAGCAGGTTGTTGTAGGCGGAGCTGTCTCAAGCATGCTTCCCGTGCAATCAGGAGTGCCCCAGGGATCTATTCTGGGACCACTTCTGTTTGTTCTATTCATCAACGACATGTTCTCGTGTGTTTCGGAGGATACAAATGTAGCATTGTATGCAGATGACACCAAAATTTGGAGGGTCATCGAATGCTTTGAAGACCACTATATTCTCCAAGGAGATATAGACAGGTTGTTTGCCTGGTCAATCGATAACAAAATGACTTTTCACCCTTCTAAGTGTAAGGTGTTATCTGTAACTCTGCAAAGAAATGTATTAGACAATCTTCCTTTTAATATTTATTGGTATAATCTTAATGAAGTCATAATTGATTATGTGGCATCCCATACAGATCTTGGTGTAATAATGAACAACAGGTTTCTGTGGGGTGCACATTGTGATCAATTGATATCTAAAGCAAGCTCGAAGCTTGGGCTCTTAAAGAGAACCTGTCATTTTACCATGGATAAACGCCAAAAGAGGGCTTTCTACCTTACCATTGTAAGATCAATCTTTGAACATTGCTCAGTTATATGGTGTCCTCAGCGATCGACACACATGTCGAAGTTTGAGGCAATCCAGAAAAGAGCGATCAAATGGATCAATGGACAACAGTTTGATCATTATAGTGATATTGTATTCTATGAGAAGCAGAAGGAGCTTTAAATTCTACCCATTAGATCTAAGTTCATCCATAATTCAATTACGCTCTTCTATAAAATAGTAAATGATTTGGTAAGTATATCTCTACCTGAATATATTACTGTTGTTGAAGCTGAAACAATGAGGTACACAAGGAGCACGGCATCAGTCATTGAAGGACTTGACACCAGCACATATACCTGCTCTATTGTACCAAACTGCGATAGTTTCAGAAACAGCTTCTTTTATAGAACAATGCTTCTGTGGAATGCACTGCCAGCCTATGTTAGACAGACTGAGAAAATTTCTATTTTCAAAACAAAGCTAACTGAATTTCTCTGGTCTTCTGACGTATGCTGGCCTGATTAGACAGCCCATCATGGAATATTATTATATATATATTTTACTTTATGAATGTCATACTCTCTATAATTTGCCCCTCGCACCTGCAGTAGAACGCGCCGTTTTTACTCTTATGAAACAACCCGAAACAATGGCGCGTCACGCAGTACGTGAGTGGCTAGATTATAGATTGTTCTATTATAATATTATTTAATTATGTTATTTTGTTGTTTTGTCGTGTATGTTTGTGGAGTAGTAGCAAAAAGGTATCGTATACATTTAAATTTGTTCTCTTGATTATTTATTAATGATTTTATGTAGGGTCGGCACCAATGTAATTATGGTCTTGCCACCGTGTTTTGGTTCAGCCGAAATAAATTTTACCTTGATGTTTTTACATATTGTTTCTCACTCCAGCTGAGTCTGGTAGTGTTGAGTATCATGAATATTTTTCTAGCTCTCTTTTTCCATGTTTTTGCTTCACAGGAGATATTGTGGTCTTTTTATTGAATATAACTGTAATACATTGATGTAAAGTTTATTTGAATTTTGAAATAAAATAAAAAAAATATTGATACTGGTAACTTTTGGTGAACATGGCGAGTTATGAGCTACATAAAAATTGGTTACTTTTAGTGAACATAGTGAGTAAGAAACATCAAATCTTCAAAGTATTTCAATGCAATCAATTTTAAAATATAATATCACTACCAGAAAATGTAGAGTTTAGGACTAAAGCTTAAAAGATGTCAAAATAGAGTGGTTCTTATGTCTGACATTTTTATCGGTGACATGTTTCAGCCTTATTAGAAGAACAGTGATAAAACAATACATTCAATAAAAGAAAAATCATTAATGATAGCGATACTGCTTGAGAAGGTAATGGTATGCAACATATTGTATTTTTATTATCTTCATCGTTTTTCACTAATTTGAATCATAATGTATTATCTAAAAACATGCACATTATTTCCGGTTTGACTCTTCCCATTTCATAATTTACCCATTGATCCTTATTCAAAGTTTACCAGATAATAAAAGTGAAATCGAAGTATGTTACTAATGGCGCTTGGTGTAGGTTGCAAAGTTGACAAGAGCAGTTATGTGATGGTTGTCGAAGATATGAGATGGTCTCTTCTTCGTGCTCACATATCGGATATGCACTGATGCTAGATTTGCAGATGGTACGAAGGTGTTTGTTTAATAACCCACAGTGTCCGGTGATGAGGTGCAATGTAGTTCTGTATTTCTGACTAAGTAGTATGAATTCTCAAATGTCTAGTAAGATTACTTGCTCGTCTTGTAGCATATGAACACTCAGAACACTTGAAGGGTTTCTCTCCAGAGTGAGTTCTCATATGTACAGAAAGATTATTTGCGTGTCTTGCAGCAAATGAACACTCAGAACATTTGAAGGCTTTCTCACCTGAGTGAATTCTCATATGTACAGAAAGATTATTTGCTTGTTTTGTAGCAAATAAACACTCAGAACACTTGAAGGGTTTCTCGCCTGAGTGAATTCTCATATGCTTTGTAAGATGACCTGCTATTCTTGCAGCAAATGAACACTCAGAACACTTGAAGGGTTTCTCACCTGAGTGAATTCTCATATGTTCAGTAAGATGACCTGCTCGTCTTGCAGCAAATGAACACTCAGAACATTTGAAGGGTTTCTCACCTGTGTGAATTCTCATATGTACAGAGAGATAATTTGCGTGTCTTGTAGCAAATGAACACTCTGAACATTTGAAGAGTTTCTCACCTGAGTGACTTCTCAAATGTCTAGAAAGATTACTTGCTTGGTTTGCAGCATATGGACACTCAGAACATTTGAAGGGTTTCTCACCTGAGTGAATTCTCATATGATTTCTAAGATCGCCTGCTCGTCTTGTAGCATATGAACACTCAGAACACTTGAAGGGTCTCACAGGCGGACTCTCACTAGGAGACAGAACTAATGTCCTCTGAGGATCTGTTCTAGTCAAGTTATCTGAAGTATCAAAGTAGTCAGGAATTTCTGGGCTGTTATGATCATGGTGCTGCTTTACATGTTCTATTAACTGAGTGTCTGAGTAAACATGTTCAGCACAAACTGGACAGATAAAAACAGATGGTTTATCTGATTCAGATGTAAGTTCTTGTTTTATTGTACAATTTGATATTGTTTTATGTTCTTTGATGTGCTCAACAAAGTAGTCTTCTGAAAAGTAATGTGCTCCACATATTGGGCAGAGGAAACCGTTTGACCTTTCTGGGTTCTCCACTTGTTCTGATTTGATCTCTTGTTTACAGTCTTTAGACATTCTGAGGTATTGAAATATAAGAGATATATAAAGTACATTTATTTTAAATTCGATCGTGAAGGAATTTGGCATTGATAACGTGCCTTATCCAATGAAAATCACAAATATTTGCCCAGTTAAACCAAAAGATAAACTTAGTTTATCATTAAATGAACAACACTGATTTTTCATTGATTGAGGAACACCAATCGGAGTACTTGACACTAAAGCTTCAAAGCATTTCATTGCAATCAATCTTAAAATATAATATCACTACCAGAAAATGTAGACTTTAGGGCTAAAAGATATCAAAATAGAGTAGAGTTCTTATGTCTGACATTTTTATCGGTGACATGTTCCAGTCTTACTAGAAGAGCAGAGATAAAACAATACATTCAATAAAAGAAAAATCATTAATGATAGCGATAGTGCTTGAGAAGGTAATGACATGCAACATATATCTGTATTATTTTCATCGTTTTTCACTAATTTGAATCATAATGTATTATCTAAAAACATGCACACTATTTGCGGTTTGAATATTCCCATTTCATAATTTACCCATTGATCCTTATTCAAAGTTTACCAGATAATAAAAGTGGAATCGAAGTATGTTACTAATGACGCTTGGTGTAGGTTGCAAAGTTGACAAGAGTAGTTATGTGATGGTTGTCGAAGATATGGTTGACAGGGAGATAATAATCCTGACAAATATTTCCCTCTAAGTTGAGCAATAGATGGGAACGAGAAAACTGTCTTAGAAAATATGAGACGGTCTCTTCTTCGTGGTCACATATCGGATATGCACTGGTGCTAGATTTGCAGATGGTACGAAGGTGTTTGTTTAATAACTCACAGTGTCTGGTGATAAGGTGCAATGTAGTTCTGTATTTCTGACTAAGTAGTATGAATTCTCAAATGTCTAGTAAGATTACTTGCTCGTCTTGTAGCATATGAACACTCAGAACACTTGAAGGGTTTCTCTCCAGAGTGAGTTCTCATATGCTTCGTAAGATCGCCTGCTAATCTTGTAGCATATGAACACTCAGAACACTTGAAGGGTTTCTCACCTGAGTGAATTCTCAAATGTCTAGAAAGATGACCTGCTCGTCTTGCAGCATATGAACACTCAGAACACTTGAAGGCTTTCTCACCTAAGTGAATTCTCATATGTACAGAAAGATTACTTGCGTGTCTTGCAGTAAATGAACATTCAGAACACTTAAAGGGTTTCTCACCTGAGTGACTTCTCATATGCTTCGTAAGATCTCCTGCTCGTCTTGTAGCATATGAACACTCAGAACACTTGAAGGGTTTCTCTCCAGAGTGACTTCTCAAATGTCTAGAAAGATTACTTGCTTGGTTTGCAGCATATGGACACTCAGAACATTTGAAGGGTTTCTCACCCGAGTGAATTCTCATATGATTTCTAAGATCACTTGCTCGTCTTGTAGCATATGAACACTCAGAACACTTTAAGGGTCTCACAGGCGGACTCTCACTAGGAGACAGAACTAATGTCCTCTGAGGATCTGTTCCAGTCAAGTTATCTGAAGTATCAAAGTAGTCAGGAATTTCTGGGCTGTTATGATCATGGTGCTGCTTTACATGTTCTATTAACTGAGTGTCTGAGTAAACATGTTCAGCACAAACTGGACAGATAAAAACAGATGGTTTATCTGATTCAGATGTAAGTTCTTGTTTTATTGTACAATTTGATATTGTTTTATGTTCTTTGATGTGCTCAACAAAGTAGTCTTCTGAAAAGTAATGTGCTCCACATATTGGGCAGAGGAAACCGTTTGACCTTTCTGGGTTCTCCACTTGTTCTGATTTGATCTCTTGTTTACAGTCTTTAGACATTCTGAGGTATTGAAATATAAGAGATATATAAAGTACATTTATTTTAAATTCGATCGTGAAGGAATTTGGCATTGATAACGTGCCTTATCCAATGAAAATCACAAATATTTGCCCAGTTAAACCAAAAGATAAACTTAGTTTATCATTAAATGAACAACACTGATTTTTCATTGATTGAGGAACACCAATCGGAGTACTTGACACTAAAGCTTCAAAGCATTTCATTGCAATCAATCTTAAAATATAATATCACTACCAGAAAATGTAGACTTTAGGGCTAAAAGATATCAAAATAGAGTAGAGTTCTTATGTCTGACATTTTTATCGGTGACATGTTCCAGTCTTACTAGAAGAGCAGAGATAAAACAATACATTCAATAAAAGAAAAATCATTAATGATAGCGATAGTGCTTGAGAAGGTAATGACATGCAACATATATCTGTATTATTTTCATCGTTTTTCACTAATTTGAATCATAATGTATTATCTAAAAACATGCACACTATTTGCGGTTTGAATATTCCCATTTCATAATTTACCCATTGATCCTTATTCAAAGTTTACCAGATAATAAAAGTGGAATCGAAGTATGTTACTAATGACGCTTGGTGTAGGTTGCAAAGTTGACAAGAGTAGTTATGTGATGGTTGTCGAAGATATGGTTGACAGGGAGATAATAATCCTGACAAATATTTCCCTCTAAGTTGAGCAATAGATGGGAACGAGAAAACTGTCTTAGAAAATATGAGACGGTCTCTTCTTCGTGCTCACATATCGGATATGCACTGATGCTAGATTTGCAGATGGTACGAAGGTGTTTGTTTAACCTACAGTGTCCGGTGATAAGGTGCAATGTAGTTCTGTATTTCTGACTAAGTAGTATGAATTCTCAAATGTCTAGTAAGATTACTTGCTCGTCTTGTAGCATATGAACACTCAGAACACTTGAAGGGTTTCTCTCCAGAGTGAGTTCTCATATGCTTCGTAAGATCGCCTGCTAATCTTGTAGCATATGAACACTCAGAACACTTGAAGGGTTTCTCACCTGAGTGAATTCTCAAATGTCTAGAAAGATGACTTGCTTGTTTTGCAGCATATGAACAATCCGAACATTTAAAGGGTTTCTCACCTGAGTGAGTTCTCATATGATTCGTAAGATCGCCTGCTCGTCTTGCAGCATATGAACACTCAGAACACTTGAAGGCTTTCTCACCTAAGTGAATTCTCATATGTACAGAAAGATTACTTGCGTGTCTTGCAGTAAATGAACATTCAGAACACTTAAAGGGTTTCTCACCTGAGTGACTTCTCATATGCTTCGTAAGATCTCCTGCTCGTCTTGTAGCATATGAACACTCAGAACACTTGAAGGGTTTCTCTCCAGAGTGACTTCTCAAATGTCTAGAAAGATTACTTGCTTGGTTTGCAGCATATGGACACTCAGAACATTTGAAGGGTTTCTCACCTGAGTGAATTCTCATATGATTTCTAAGATCACTTGCTCGTCTTGTAGCATATGAACACTCAGAACACTTTAAGGGTCTCACAGGCGGACTCTCACTAGGAGACAGAACTAATGTCCTCTGAGGATCTGTTCCAGTCAAGTTATCTGAAGTATCAAAGTAGTCAGGAATTTCTGGGCTGTTATGATCATGGTGCTGCTTTACATGTTCTATTAACTGAGTGTCTGAGTAAACATGTTCAGCACAAACTGGACAGATAAAAACAGATGGTTTATCTGATTCAGATGTAAGTTCTTGTTTTATTGTACAATTTGATATTGTTTTATGTTCTTTGATGTGCTCAACAAAGTAGTCTTCTGAAAAGTAATGTGCTCCACATATTGGGCAGAGGAAACCGTTTGACCTTTCTGGGTTCTCCACTTGTTCTGATTTGATCTCTTGTTTACAGTCTTTAGACATTCTGAGGTATTGAAATATAAGAGATATATAAAGTACATTTATTTTAAATTCGATCGTGAAGGAATTTGGCATTGATAACGTGCCTTATCCAATGAAAATCACAAATATTTGCCCAGTTAAACCAAAAGATAAACTTAGTTTATCATTAAATGAACAACACTGATTTTTCATTGATTGAGGAACACCAATCGGAGTACTTGACACTAAAGCTTCAAAGCATTTCATTGCAATCAATCTTAAAATATAATATCACTACCAGAAAATGTAGACTTTAGGGCTAAAAGATATCAAAATAGAGTAGAGTTCTTATGTCTGACATTTTTATCGGTGACATGTTCCAGTCTTACTAGAAGAGCAGAGATAAAACAATACATTCAATAAAAGAAAAATCATTAATGATAGCGATAGTGCTTGAGAAGGTAATGACATGCAACATATATCTGTATTATTTTCATCGTTTTTCACTAATTTGAATCATAATGTATTATCTAAAAACATGCACACTATTTGCGGTTTGAATATTCCCATTTCATAATTTACCCATTGATCCTTATTCAAAGTTTACCAGATAATAAAAGTGGAATCGAAGTATGTTACTAATGACGCTTGGTGTAGGTTGCAAAGTTGACAAGAGTAGTTATGTGATGGTTGTCGAAGATATGGTTGACAGGGAGATAATAATCCTGACAAATATTTCCCTCTAAGTTGAGCAATAGATGGGAACGAGAAAACTGTCTTAGAAAATATGAGATGGTCTCTTCCTCGTGGTCACATATCGGATATGCACTGATGCTAGATTTGCAGATGGTACGAAGGTGTTTGTTTAATAACCCACAGTGTCCGGTGATAAGGTGCAATGTAGTTCTGTATTTCTGACTAAGTAGTATGAATTCTCAAATGTCTAGTAAGATTACTTGCTCGTCTTGTAGCATATGAACACTCAGAACACTTGAAGGGTTTCTCTCCAGAGTGAGTTCTCATATGCTTCGTAAGATCGCCTGCTAATCTTGTAGCATATGAACACTCAGAACACTTGAAGGGTTTCTCACCTGAGTGAATTCTCAAATGTCTAGAAAGATGACTTGCTTGTTTTGCAGCATATGAACAATCCGAACATTTAAAGGGTTTCTCACCTGAGTGAGTTCTCATATGATTCGTAAGATCGCCTGCTCGTCTTGCAGCATATGAACACTCAGAACACTTGAAGGCTTTCTCACCTAAGTGAATTCTCATATGTACAGAAAGATTACTTGCGTGTCTTGCAGTAAATGAACATTCAGAACACTTAAAGGGTTTCTCACCTGAGTGACTTCTCATATGCTTCGTAAGATCTCCTGCTCGTCTTGTAGCATATGAACACTCAGAACACTTGAAGGGTTTCTCTCCAGAGTGACTTCTCAAATGTCTAGAAAGATTACTTGCTTGGTTTGCAGCATATGGACACTCAGAACATTTGAAGGGTTTCTCACCTGAGTGAATTCTCATATGATTTCTAAGATCACTTGCTCGTCTTGTAGCATATGAACACTCAGAACACTTTAAGGGTCTCACAGGCGGACTCTCACTAGGAGACAGAACTAATGTCCTCTGAGGATCTGTTCCAGTCAAGTTATCTGAAGTATCAAAGTAGTCAGGAATTTCTGGGCTGTTATGATCATGGTGCTGTTTTACATGTTCTATTAACTGAGTATCTGAGTAAACATGTTCAGCACAAACTGGACAGATAAAAACAGATGGTTTATCTGATTCAGATGTAAGTTCTTGTTTTATTTTACAATTTGATTTTGTTTTATGTTCTTTGATGTGCTCAACAAAGTAGTCTTCTGAAAAGTAATGTGCTCCACACATTGGGCAGAGGAAACCGTTTGACTTTTCTGGGTTCTCCACTTGTTCTGATTTGATCTCTTGCTTACAGTCTTTAGACATTCTGAGGTATTGAAATATAAGAGATATATAAAGTACATTTATTTTAAATTCGATCGTGAAGGAATTTGGCATTGATAACGTGCCTTATCCAATGAAAATCACAAATATTTGCCCAGTTAAACCAAAAGATAAACTAGGTCAATCATTGAATGAACATCACTGATTTTTGATTGATTGAAGAACACCAATCGGAGGCAGTACTTGACACTAAAGCTTCAAAGCATTTTATTGCAATCAATTTTAAAATATAATATCACTAATCACTACCAGAAAATGTAGACTTTAGGGCTAAAAGATATCAAAATAGAGTAGTTCTTATGTCTGACATTTTTATCGGTGACAAGTTTCAGCCTTATTAGAAGAACAGTGATAAAACAATACATTCAATAAAAGAAAAATCATTAATGATAGCGATAGTGCTTGAGAAGGTAATGGCATACAACATATATTTGTATTATCTTCATCGTTTTTCACTTATTTGAATCATAATGTATTATCTAAAAACATGCACACTATTTGCGGTTTGAATATTCCCATTTCATAATTTACCCATTGATCCTTATTCAAAGTTTACCAGATAATAAAAGTAGAATCGAAGTATGTTACTAATGGTGCTTGGTGTAGGTTGCAAAGTTGACAAGAGTAGCTATGTGATGGTTGTAGAAGATATAGTTGACAGGGAGATAATAATCCTGAAAATATTTCCCTCTAAGTTGAGCAATAGATGGGAACGAGAACACTGTCTTAGAAAATATGAGACGGTCTCTTCTTCGTGCTCATACATCGGATATGCACTGATGCTAGATTTGCAGATGGTACGAAGGTGTTTGTTTAACCCACAGTGTCCGGTGATAAGGTGCAATGTAGTTCTGTATTTCTGACTAAGTAGTATGAATTCTCTTTATATGTCTAGTAAGATTACTTGCTCGTGTTGTAGCAAATGAACACTCAGAACACTTGAAGGGTTTCTCTCCAGAGTGAGTTCTCATATGCTTCATAATATCGCCTGCTCGTCTTGTAGCATATGAACACTCAGAACACTTGAAGGGTTTCTCACCTGAGTGACTTCTCAAATGTCTAGAAAGATGACTTGCTTGTTTTGCAGCATATGAACACTCAGAACATTTAAAGGGTTTCTCACCTGAGTGACTTCTCATATGGTTCGTAAGATCGCCTGCTCGTCTTGTAGCATATGAACACTCAGAACACTTGAAGGGTTTCTCACCTGAGTGACTTCTCAAATGTCTAGAAAGATGACTTGCTTGTTTTGCAGCATATGAACACTCAGAACATTTAAAGGGTTTCTCACCTGAGTGAGTTCTCATATGGTTCGTAAGATCGCCTGCTCGTCTTGTAGCATATGAACACTCAGAACACTTGAAGGGTTTCTCTCCAGAGTGAGTTCTCATATGTACAGAAAGATTACTTGCGTGTCTTGCAGTAAATGAACATTCAGAACATTTAAAGGGTTTCTCACCTGAGTGAGTTCTCATATGCTTCGTAAGATCACCTGCTTGTTTTGTAGCATATGAACACTCAGAACATTTGAAGGGTTTCTCTCCAGAGTGAGTTCTCATATGTACAGAAAGATTACTTGCGTGTCTTGCAGTAAATGAACATTCAGAACACTTAAAGGGTTTCTCACCTGAGTGAGTTCTCATATGGTTCGTAAGATCGCCTGCTCGTCTTGTAGCATATGAACACTCAGAACACTTTAAGGGTCTCACAGGCGGACTCTCACTAGGAGACAGAACTAATGTCCTCTGAGGATCTGTTCTAGTCAAGTTATCTGAATTATCAAAGTAGTCAGGAATTTCTGGGTTGCTATGATCATGGTGCTGTTTTACATGTTCTATTAACTGAGTATCTGAGTAAACATGCTCAGCACAAACTGAACAGATAAAAACAGATGGTTTATCTGATTCAGATGTAAGTTCTTGTTTTATTGTACAATTTGATATTGTTTTATGTTCTTTGATGTGCTCAACAAAGTAGTCTTCTGAAAAGTAATGTGCTCCACATATTGGGCAGAGGAAACCGTTTGACCTTTCTGGGTTCTCCACTTGTTCTGATTTGATCTCTTGTTTACAGTCTTTAGACATTCTGAGGTATTGAAATATAAGAGATATATAAAGTACATTTATTTTAAATTCGATCGTGAAGGAATTTGGCATTGATAACGTGCCTTATCCAATGAAAATCACAAATATTTGCCCAGTTAAACCAAAAGATAAACTAGGTCAATCATTGAATGAACATGATCACTGATTTTTGATTGATTGAGGAACACCAAGCGGAGGCAGTACTTGACACTTTAAAAGCTTCAAAGCATTTCATTGCAATCAATTTTATGCATACTCATCCCGAGCGATGGTACAGGGACAAACCGGACGCCATACGAAGGAGGAGATCCAGAAACCATAATCCAAATCACAGCTCCAAACAGAGTTGACAGGGCAGTTCGCGAACTACAGCTCAACAAAGCTGCAGGACCTGATGATATAAGGAACGAAATGATACTCAAAGCTTGGGACCACATTAAAGATCCAGTCCGTATGATCTTTCACAACTTACTGGCACTAGGAATTACTCCAGAATCCTGGCATCATACCACAGGTTGTATTCTACCAAAACCCCTCAAACCGGACTACACTAACCCTAGGGCATTCAGGATAATCTCACTGACATCCAGTTTCCAAAAATTATTAGAAAGGCTCATACTCTGGCACCTTGAGTTAGACCTTAAAATTCCAGCTAAACTCACTAAAAACCAACACGGTTTTAGGAAAGGTAAATCTACGGAATCAGCGATCCACCTGTTAACCCGCAGGATCGAAGATGCGATGGCAACAGGGAACTACGCTTTAGGAGTGTTCCTAGACATTGAACAGGCTTTTGACGCAGTCAGCTTCACAGCGATCAAAGGAGCTCTGCTGGAAGCCAACATCCCTCCAACCATTTCAGAATGGATCTACTTCATGATAAGTAACAGGCACATTACTCTTACGTATTGCGAGTTCAGTATCACTAAAAAAGCTACTAAAGGTAGCCCTCAAGGAGGAGTATTGTCACCACTATTATGGAATCTAACTCTTAACACCTTCCTTAGCAGCCTAGGGATCCACAATAACTTTATACAGGCATTCGCAGACGACTTGGTAATCCTCGTCAAGGCATCTGTAAAGTCACGATCAGAGACATAGCCCAGCAACAGCTACAGAACATCAGCAACTGGTGCACGAGCAAAGGATTAAAACTCAGTGGAGTCAAGAGTACAGCAATCCTATTCACCACCAAACAGGACAATAATCTAGACTCCCCGCTAACAGTTGACGGAACTACAGTTCCCACAGTTAATAGTACAGTCTATCTAGGGGTTACTTTCGACCAGAAACTTAATTGGGGTACTCACAAACTTAAAAAATGTGATAAGGCCATAGGACAACTTCACGCTTGTAAACAAGCTGTAGGAAAAATCTGGGGCATCTCACCGGCGGGTGTGAGATGGATCTATAACCAAGTCATTCTCCCCTCACTAGGTTATGCAGCGATAGTTTGGCAACACTCAACAGACAGACACTACATCTCTGTCAGACTGGAAACAGTTCAACGCCAAGCAGGTCTCATGATCACTAGAGGACTGAAAAGTACTCCCACTCCTAACCTGGAGATCCTAGCTAGAATCCGTCCCATCAGCCTTAAACTTAAATCTCTAGCAATTAAGTCGGCAATGAGACTTAAATTACAAGGAACATGGAATAAACAGTACCATTACAACCAGCGAAGACACTGTAAATCACACGCTTACAACGTCGAGAAAATGATAACTAACATAACTTACACAGGATGCACACTTCAGGACAATATCCCCAAGGTTACCATGCTGGACAGACGTTTCAAGGTAATTATACAAGAAAGGAAAGCTGCCATCAACTACATCGATAATCTTCCTCCCTACATCTGGCAGATCTTTACAGACGGCTCGAAAGCAAGTGGAATTACAGGAGCGGGATTCTGTGTCATCAAAGCAGCACAAGAGTACCACAGAGTCAGCTATCAACTTGGCACGCTGGCAACAGTCTACCAATGCGAGCTCTTTGCGATCCACATGGCAAGTATCTGGATCAATGATAACATAGGGTTACCAGCTACCATTAACTTTTTCTCAGATTCCCAGGCCTCGCTTAAAGCGCTTACCAGCACTAGCATTAGCTCCAGAATAGTACTGGACATCGTAGACCAACTTAATACATTAGGTACCTCCCACCGAGTAGAACTTAGGTGGGTCCCAGGACACGAAGGAGTACACGGTAACGAACTTGCCGATGAACTCGCAAGAGAGGAATCCAGCAGTATCCCCATAGGACCTGAACCATTCCTCCCACTACCTGAAGGAATCATCAACAACGCAATCGATGAGTACCTATTCAAACTACACCTCAACGCATACCGACAGGTCGACCTCAGTGATAAAGGGAAAATCCCTCTTGGACTATTCCTTAACACATACAAATACAGGAATATTAATATCACAGGAACTCACCTCAGATGGCTAACATGGCTACTATCAGGGCACAGCCCACTAGCTTACTTTCAGACTAGGGCCAACAACGTCAACTTTGAGACACAAGACTGCAAACACTGCCCAGGGGAAGCAGAAACATCACAACATTTCCTCTGCGAATGTGTACAGCTGATGACTATCAGACTGAGGATATTTGGTAAACCTTTACTCACAATGGAGGAAATTATCAACAGTAAACTCAACCACATCATAAAGTTTGTGGAACAGTCAAAAAGACTAGACAAGGAAGATCTCTTTGGGTAAACTACTAGGATTTAACACCAGGAAATAACACAATTTCAGGAAAACAACATCAGGAAATAACCCACTCCCAGGAAAACTAATAATAGCACCAATTCCAGGAGATGACCTGGCTCGGAAGTCCCTTGTCTGCCCACCGAAGTACCACAACCGAAGTGGGTTTGCTCTGAGACAGGTAGTGACAGCTTCAAGACTCCAGAGGTCTGTTGCATTGATATTTATTATTTTATGATTTCGTATATACTTTGGGAGTCCTGGAATGCAGCTAGCAGGAGTTGCATTCTGTGGGCACGGCGAGAAGGCCTCCATCTTTATCGTAAGAGGCCAGAAACCGTTGACCAGAACAGAGAGAGAGAGAGAGAGAGCAATCAATTTTAAAATATAATATCACTAGTCACTACCAGAAAATGTAGACTTTAGAGCTAAAAGATATCAAAATAGAGTAGTTCTTATGTCTGACATTTTTATCGGTGACATGTTTCAGCCTTATTAGAAGAACAGTGATAAAACAATACATTCAATAAAAGAAAAATCATTAATGATAGCGATAGTGCTTGAGAAGGTAATGGCATGAAACACATTATATCTGTATTATCTTCATCGTTTTTCACTAATTTGAATCATAATGTATTATCTAAAAACATGCAAACTATTTGCGGTTTGAATCTTCCCATTTCATAATTTACCCATTGATCCTTATTCAAAGTTTACCAGATAATAAAAGTGGAATTGAAGTATGTTACTAATGGTGCTTGGTATAGGGTTCAAAGTTGACAAGAGTTTAGAGTAGTTATGTGATGGTTGTCGAAGATATGGTTGACAGGGAGATAATAATCCTGAAAATATTGCCCTCTAAGTTGAGTAATAGATGGGAACGAGAACACTGTCTTAAAAAATATGAGACGGTCTCTTCTTCGTGGTCACATATCGGATATGCACTGATGCTAGATTTACAGATGGTACGAAGGTGTTTGTTTAACCTACAGTGTCCGGTGATAAGGTGCAATGTAGTTCTGTATTTCTGACTAAGTAGTATGAATTCTCTTTATATGTCTAGTAAGATTACTTGCTCGTCTTGCAGCATATGAACACTCAGAACACTTGAAGGGTTTCTCTCCAGAGTGAGTTCTCATATGCCTAGAAAGATTACTTGCGTGTCTTGCAGCAAATGAACACTCAGAACACTTGAAGGGTTTCTCAGTTGAGTGACTTCTCATATGTCTAGAAAGATTACTTGCTTGTTTTGCAGCATATGAACACTCAGAACACTTGAAGGGTTTTTCTCCAGAGTGAGTTCTCATATGTACAGTAAGATCACCTGCTCGTCTTTCAGCATATGAACACTCAGAACACTTGAAGGGTTTCTCACCTGAGTGAGTTCTCATATGTTCAGTAAGATGACGTGCGTGTCTTGCAGCAAATGAACACTCAGAACACTTGAAGGGTTTCTCAGTTGAGTGACTTCTCATATGTCTAGAAAGATTACTTGCTTGTTTTGCAGCATATGAACACTCAGAACATTTGAAGGGTTTCTCACCTGAGTGACTTCTCATATGCTTCCTAAGATCACCTGCTCGTCTTGTAGCATATGAACACTCAGAACATTTGAAGGATCTCACAGGCGGACTCTCACTAGGAGACAGAACTAATGTCCTCTGAGGATCTGTTCCAGTCAAGTTATCTGAAGTATCAAAGTAGTCAGGTACTTCTGGGCTGCTATGATCGTGGTGCTGCTTTACATGTTCTATTAACTGAGTGTCTGAGTAAACATGTTCAGCACAAACTGGACAGATAAAAACTGATGACCGTTTATCTGATTCAAATGTAAGTTCTTGTTTTATTGTACAATTTGATATTGTTTTATGTTCTTTGATGTGCTTCGGAAAAGTAATGTGCTTCGGAAAAGTAATGTGCTCCACACATTGGGCAGAGGAAACCGTTTGACTTTTCTGGGTTCTCCACTTGTTCTGATTTGATCTCTTGTTTACAGTCTTTAGACATTCTGAGGTATTGAAATATAAGAGATATATAAAGTACATTTATTTTAAATTCGATCGTGAAGGAATTTAGTTCAAGGGGGCTATATTTATGAGTCGCATTTGAACTTGATTTCTCTTGGAGAATTTCTCTTTAGACTCTTAACTTGCGAACAAATTGAAGCAGCAAACTTTAGGCTAGAAACTTTATTGAATTGAAATAATCATTCCACGTAACAACGTCTTCTTCAGTTCTGTAATAAAATTGTTAAACATGTGTAAAAATTAACGACGGAAAGAAATTTAAAATAACATTAAAACAAAAACAGAGAAATAAAATTTACGAAATATGACCCAAAAATGTAATTGCAAAAAATGTCAAAACAACAAAAAATACGACAAGAAGAAATGTAAGCTAATACAACTAAATACTGTACTACTCATGATACTAAACTAATTAGTAAACGTAAAACTGGTTGTTCAGAATTCACAGTTCATGTGTAAAAACTAATGATAAAATCAGCACTTAAGCAACGATAACTCGGTTGTCATGGTTACTATCCAAGATAGTCCTATCAATACATTATTTACTAGTTAAACATCGACTAAATATTTGTACAAATAACTCAACTCAGAACGATCATTCATTTCAGGACTTAATCTCAATATATACATCGCTTCTACAATCTTTCTACGAACAGTTTTACTCTGTAAATCAAGTAACTTAAAAGATAAAAACTGGGGTTCGGTTAGGATGTAGAGATGCGTAGTGCTGTCCAACCCCATTCTCTGGATGTGCTCTAGGATTCCTAGCAGCCTGTCTGTGCTCCATCAGACGAGCATGGAGGCTTCTCTCAAGTTTCCCCACAGTATCTCTTACCACATAACTCGCAAGTAACTAAGTAAATAGCTCCTTTTGTTGAGCATGTTGTTCCTGTGAGTCTAGGGCAGATCTCACAATTGTTAGGGTTACCAAGGTCACAAGTCTTCTTATCCAGTGGACGAGAGCGGCAGAAGATGTCCTGTAACTTCTTACCAGGTGTAAAATAACTCTGATGGGGAGTTTGTTAGATTTGATGTAGTTGCGAATCTTATTACAAACTGTTCCAGAGATGAATGGTAAGGTGAGTGGGACAGAGTCAGGTGTGGTTTGACGTCTTCTCCTAGTCCTCCTGTTCCTTGCGTTATGACTCAGAGGTTGGTGTCCATTTTTCTTTAAGAGATCATCGATGATCTTAACTGAATGATCGAGTTCCTGGGGTCCTGAGGAAGCAATGGTGGCATTACGGTAGAAGTTCTTCTTACACTCCTCCTTCACTGAGTCCGGGTGGTGTGACTTCTGGTGTAATGTTATCCCCTTGTTCTGGGTTTTCCTGTAGAATCTGTGGTGCACTTTTCCTTCCTCATCGATCCGGATTTCCGTACTCAGGAAGGGGACAAAATCCGCAGGTGTAGACGGGAACTCGATCTCCCACTTGATTCTGTTATCGGGATCAAGTGGGAGATCGAGTGAGAGAAGCCTCCATGCTCGTCTGATGGAGCACAGACAGGCTGCTAGGAATCCTAGAGCACATCCAGAGAATGGGGTTGGACAGCACTACGCATCTCTACATCCTAACCGAACACCAGTTTTATCTTTTAAGTTACTTGATTTACAGAGTAAAACTGTTCGTAGAAAGATTGTAGAAGCGATGTATATATTGAGATTAAGTCCTGAAATGAATGATCGTTCTGAGTTGAGTTATTTGTACAAATATTTAGTCGATGTTTAACTAGTAAATAATGTATTGATAGGACTATCTTGGATAGTAACCATGACAACCGAGTTATCGTTGCTTAAGTGCTGATTTTATCATTAGTTTTTACACATGAACTGTGAATTCTGAACAACCAGTTTTACGTTTACTAATTAGTTTAGTATCATGAGTAGTACAGTATTTAGTTGTATTAGCTTACATTTCTTCTTGTCGTATTTTTTGTTGTTTTGACATTTTTTGCAATTACATTTTTGGGTCATATTTCGTAAATTTTATTTCTCTGTTTTTGTTTTAATGTTATTTTAAATTTCTTTCCGTCGTTAATTTTTACACATGTTTAACAATTTTATTACAGAACTGAAGAAGACGTTGTTACGTGGAATGATTATTTCAATTCAATAAAGTTTCTAGCCTAAAGTTTGCTGCTTCAATTTGTTCGCAAGTTAAGAGTCTAAAGAGAAATTCTCCAAGAGAAATCAAGTGAAGGAATTTGGCATTGATAACGTGCCTTATCCAATGAAAATCACAAATATTTGCCCAGTTAAACCAAAAGATAAACTTAGATTATCATTAAATTAACATCACTGATTTTTCATTGATTGAGGAACACCAATCGGAAGCAGTTCTTGACACTAAAGCTTCAAAGTATTTCATTGCAATCAATTTTAAAATATAATATCACTACCAGAAAATGTAGACTTTAGGGCTAAAAGATATCAAAATAGAGTGGTTCTTATGTCTGACATTTTTATCGGTGACAAGTTTCAGTCTTACTAGAATAACAGTGATAAAACAATACATCCAATAAAAGAAAAATCATTAATGATAGCGATAGTGCTTGAGAAGGTAATGACATGCAACATATTCTGTATTATCTTCATCGTTTTTCACTAATTTGAATCATAATACATATTGTCTAAAAACATGCACATTATTTGCAGTTTGAATATTCCCATTTCATAATTTACCCAATTATCCTTATTCAAAGTTTACCAGATAATAAAAGTGGAATTGAAATATGTTACTAATGGTGCTTGTTGTAGGTTGCAAAGTTGACAAGAGTAGTTATGTGATGGTTGTAGAAGATATAGTTGACAGGGAGATAATAATCCTGAAAATATTGCCCTCTAAGTTGAGTAATAGATGGGAACGAGAACACTGTCTTAGAAAATATGAGACGGTCTCTTCCTCGTGGTCACATATCGGATATGCACTGATGCTAGTTTTGCAGATGGTACGAAGGTGTTTGTTTAATAACCCACAGTGTCCGGTGATAAGGTGCAATGTAGTTCTGTATTTCTGACTAAGTAGTATGAATTCTCTTTATATGTCCAGTAAGATTACTTGCTCGTCTTGCAGCAAATGAACACTGAGAACATTTGAATGGTTTCTCTCCAGAGTGAATTCTCATATGTCTAGTAATAACACCTGCTCTTCTTGTAGCAAACGAACACTCAGAACATGTGAAAGGTTTCTCACCTGTGTGAATTCTTATATGTTCAGTAAGATGACGTGCTTGTTTTGCAGCATATGAACACTCAGAACACTTGAAGGGTTTCTCTCCAGAGTGAGTTCTCATATGTTCAGTAAGTTGACCTGCTCGTCTTGCAGCAAATAAACACTCAGAACATTTGAAAGGTTTCTCTCCAGAGTGAGTTCTCATATGTAAAGAAAGATTACTTGCGTGTCTTGCAGCAAATGAACACTCAGAACATTTGAAGGGTTTCTCTCCAGAGTGAGTTCTCAAATGTCTAGAAAGATTACTTGCTTGTTTTGCAGCATATGAACACTCAGAACACTTGAAGGGTTTCTCATCTGAGTGAATTCTCATATGCTTCCTAAGATCGCCTGCTCGTCTTGTAGCATATGAACACTCAGAACACTTGAAGGGTCTCACAGGCGGACTCTCACTAGGAGACAGAACTAATGTCCTCTGATGATCTTTTTCAGTCAAGTTATCTGAAGTATCAAACTTTTCTGGTTTCTCAACTTGTTCTGATTTGATCTCTTGCTTACAGTCTTTAGACATTCTGAGGTATTGAAATATTATAAGAGAAATATAAAACTGTACATTTAATTTAAATTCGATCGTAAAGGAATTTGGCATTGATAACGTGCCTTATCCAATGAAAATCACAAATATTTGCCCAGTTAAACCGGGGGTATCCAATTGTGTAAAATGATGAATCAGGTTTCCAAAATCTCACCATTTTTCGCCATTTTTTCGATGAGTATATTTGGGGGGGGGGGGGGGCCAACGCCCCAAAAGGCCCCAAAAAGCCCCGATTTCTAGGGCCCTTTTTGGATTTTCAATATGTGTAGGGCCTTTTGGGGCCCTAGAATTAACTTCAATTTCATCAAGTTTGATATATGCTAAGTGCTTTAATGATATTATCTGACTACTCGCACAGTACTTTTATGTTTATTTGAATGTATTTACATGGACATTATGGTCCATAAACACTATCAAATGGTGGTCAGGGTCAAAAGGCCCCAAAAAGCCCCGATTTCTAGGGCCCTTTTCGGATTTTCGATATGTGTGGGGCCTTTTTAGTTTTGAACTGGTGTGATCACTCTAAAACTATATTTCGAGCTGTTAACTCAGATTTTTAGGATATAAATTAAACATGTGTTTCATTATATATTTAAAGTACGTCCAGATTTTACAATTCAGAAACTCGATTCACCGAAACTATCAATCACCATCTTTCATCAAAACTAGTGAACATGGTAAGAAAGGTACATGGAAACTGCTAACTTTAAGTGAAAATGGCGAAAAGGTACATTGAAACTGGTAACTTTTAGTGAACACTGAACATGGTGAGAAAGGTATGTATATTGATACTTTGATTCTGGTAACTTTTGGTGAACATGGCGAGTAATGTACATCAAAAATGATAACTTTTGGTGAACTTGGCGAGGCGTGTAAGATAAATAAAAACTAATAAATTTTGGTGATAATGGCCATTGGGGGGGGGGGGGGGTACCAATGGCATAAAATGGCATAAATGGCATACGTTTTATGGCATAAATGGAAATTTTTATTGGCCAATTCTCCATTTATGCCATGAATTTAGGTCTTCATATTTGACTTTAAATTCGCAAATTATTATTAGTACTTGAATAAGAGACATGTTTCATGCTTTATAACGCTTGGAATGATTGTTAAAGATTCATATGACAAATAAAGAAAATATAAATGTATTATATCAAAAATGGCATAAATGGCATACGTTTTATGGCATAAATGGAAATTTTTATTGGCCAATTCTCCATTTTGCCATTTATGCCATTGGTACCCCCCCGGCCATTGGCCATGGTGAGAAATGTACATCGAAACTGGTAACTTTTGGTGAACATGGCGAGTAAGGTACATCAAAATTGGTTAGTTTTGGTGAACATGGCGAGTAAGGTACATCAAAACTGGTTACATTTTGTGACCATGGCGAGTAAGGTACATCAAAACTGGCAACTTTTATCTTTTAGTGAACATGGCGAGTAAGGTTCATCAAAACTGAGCTCTTGGTATTGTCGTATAGTACCAGAAAACACATTTAATATTTCAATTTGATATTTTGAAATTAAAAAAAACTAAAATGGTGTAAAATGGTGAATCGGTTTTGAACCAAATTGTAAAATTTCACCATTTTCACCATTTTTACCATTTTTCACCATTGGATACCCCCTAATGAGCGATATAGATTTTATTAAAACTTGCAATTTAACAATCCCTGTTAAAATATTATTATATCCAGCATTGATCATCACTGTAAATACAAAGAGGTAGTGAGGGAATCGAGTTCGGCTAAATCGACCACAGATCATTTTTTATCCCCAAATCTCATTCTCGATCATGATATTATTGTACCAGTTAGTAGACCAAATATTTACTGCTGAGTTAACCTTGTTTAATGCTAATAATTATATTATAATGAAACGAGTTATTTAAAAAATTGAAATATAAAATAGTTTTTTGAGTGGAGTTTCACTTTAATTATGGCTTTATCATTTCCACAAAATTATCACTTTAGTTAACTTATTCTTTATGTAATGAGCTATATAAATACTCTTTCTGTAAATCAACATAATTCTCCCTCATACCACAGTAAGTGTGGTACAGTTCAGGGTTTGTCTTGGAAACCAGCTCATATTCAGTTCTCAACTCCTCCATCCTCCCCACACCATTAACCCCAGCAAAAGCAAGCAGCGCAGCACCGCGTGCTGCAGCATTAGCACTGGAAGCACGATACACGTCTACCCCGAACACGTTGCTTATAAGGTTTAGTAAAGTATTATTAACGCTTCCTCCTCCCACTACAATGAGACGAGTGTTAGAGGTGGGTTTGAAGCCAGCTGCTGAGATATCGTGCCTCTTACTCAGAAACTGTCCTTCTGTTACAGTGCGCACTATAGTTTCAGGAGGATGAGACAAAGGTAACCTCTCTGAAAATATGGTTTTAATAACTTTATATCCTACCGGAGGAAAACGAGGTCGTATCATGTCAGGCTATTTTACTTCTACAATTTAACATGTTTAAGATGAAATGAACGATAATAACAAGGAAACCGTGCCGCACTCCCAAGTAGTAGTAGGTTTAATAAGAACCTGGATCAGTAGAACAGAAAGCACCGACCAGACCAGCAGGGCAGGTTTCAGGTAGAGGCAGGTAGTTACCCACTAAGGGAGGGTTATCCTGTGTAGATAACATCTGGTTATATCTCTCCCACTCTCCTCCGCAATACTTATCTTTCAACTCTTCTCTAACAAATAGCAATCAGTCACAATTTTACATCTTTAATAGGAAACTAATAGTGTTACGATTAAAAAACAGCATCTTATTAATATAATGATATTATCATTGCCCTATCAGTATATAATTACTGTAGACGTGAAGGTATACCTGACCAAACTTCCGTTCTTGTAGCAGATAATGAACATGTGAGAGTTACTGTTCAGGGGATTACAGAACACGTGTATATCAGGGGAGGGCGTCACGTGACCAGACACTCCAATCAGAACATCACTCGTTCCTGCAATAGCTCAGTGTTTGATAGCAGTTATTTTGTTACTTTGTGTTATACGAAGTAAATATCAAATTTAAACAGACTGTTTAAGAAACAAAGCATTCCATCTTACTTATTGTAGTTCTCTAAATCTTTAAATCTATAATTTGTGTAATTATAATCGGTAATCCTCCCATGATAAAGTAAACACATATTAGAGATTAATTAGAGATTAATTAGAGATTAATTAGAGATTAATTAGATAATAATTAGAGAGTATTTAGAGAGTAATTAGAGAGTATTTAGAGAGTAATTAATATACTAGTAATTAGAGAGTAATTATAGAGTAATTAATTACCGAGGGATAGAATAAGGTCCTGGTCTCTACAAGACATGCCTACTAAAGTAGCAGGGTTGTCTCCAGTACACCTCAATACTTTGCATTCCTTGTTAAACCCGTATCTTGTAACCAAGTAGTCTGATATTGTAGCAGCCACTTCATCAGCTTCCTAGTGTCAAGGACATATTGTGATTGATTGATCTAATGATATCATTGATAATACATTCTAACAATTAACTTATACAGGATGTTATCTGTATCTGGAATCAGTGTGTATCATTTGTAAAAGACCATTGTAACCAACTGACATTAACATCCTCTCGTTATAAAGATGGCACAAACTCCAATACCACACCTAACAGTGGGACAGTTGGTGAGAGAATGGAGGACAGGACATAACATATTATATGTATATTCCATCATATTGTAAAACTATTACCGTATTGATTTTCACAAAGAATAGACTTTAAAAAACCAGCTAACTATTACACGTTTGATTCATCAACAAAAAGTTAAATAATTTTTACAAGCGGCTGTATCTCACTCGAAAAGCTCTATAAACTAGCACAGTAGCTACCTGTAGGGTGGGTTTAGGTGCTCCCAACTTGTCACTAATATCACCCCATTATAAAAGCCACTAATCTCCTTTATCCACTTCTTCTGAACACATCCAACAAGTTCATACCTGATCCGTCACTAAAGTCTATAGCCATGTACTTGCCAGTGAGGAGAGTACCCAGGAAGTTACTGACAAGTAGTACTCGTTCTGTAGACTCGTACAGTTCCGGACTCTCATTTACCATCTGCAGAGGGGTTTATTGATAAAATATTGCACGTGCGCTAGCAAGAACAGATTATCAATGCGCGTTTTCATGCTTTGTGTTTATGATAAGTTATGAAACACAGATTTTTAACACGCCAAGAAGACGTACTCTATGAATGTGATGAACAGAGAATCTAGCATGGGCCCGTGAACCAGTCCTGTTACAAAGCTCTTCAGAACCTATCTTCTCTTCTAACCTGACACAACTAGGTGTTAACAATGAAAGTTTTATTAGGTTTTATGACGTATCGTACTGCAAATAGTTATACAATAACAGTATCTCAAAAATGGTCTATCCACGAGGTTAACTTGATTGGAACTGAGTTTTGTCCTGTGTGCGGTAGATTTCAGTAAAGATCTAGTAATGAAAGCTAACCTCTCACAGTACTCTTCTGTACTAGAGTCCATCCAGATGGGAGAGAGAGGGAGAGTGAAGTAATCTTGTAGCTGGGTATGGAGTGGTAATGATACGTCAGCTGTTTGGAGCGCAGCCAGAAACCCTTGTGCAGTGTAAACTGTGCCGTGTTGTTGTGCGCATCCTCCTATACCCACAACCTGACAGGAATGATTCAACTAATCATTAAGTTAATTTCCGTAAACTTTGGTTATTTTTTCATAACATTTTTTAGTTAGATATGGGTTCTACAATTTTTAGCAATTTGTTGAAGTGATTTTATGATTATTGATCACAAACCAAAGTATCGCACATTTTTATAATTGAACAGATGAAGCAAACAAAATCATATCCTTTGAAAAATGTTCATACTAAATAAAACTGCATTGTGCAAGCAATGAAATAATTAATTATAGTTCAACTTAAATTTAACAATGAGTAGGCATCGATAAAAACAATAAAAAGAAATAAAATATTACGCCTATAAACTTTAATTTCTCATCCAGAAGTGAGAAGTTGAATACCAACATAGACTGTTCCACGTTTAAATTTAAATAATTACTAAAAGTGCTAAAAACATCAAATCAACTAGGTTTTCTGATAGTAAATTTATCGAGGTTTCAAAAATTACTCGCTCCATAGTTGGCCAATTTCCTTATGAAGCTCAGCATTAAGAGTTTCTTTTAATGTCCCAAACAGTTCATTAGTAACTTGATCAATTCCAGCCTCTACAGTGTAATCAGTCCAAGTAAGGGAATCATCCTGAGCCCTTATCTTTTCAAACATCTCAGCAACTTTGTTTTGAAACTCACGTTTTTCATACCGTTCAGTCCCATAATCTGAACGAGATTTTGCAAGTTTTTCTGATGCTTTCAGGTACAAGACTTTGTCAGGCTTGGGCAAGCCCCGGTCAGGACCCATGCACCAGTTCAAAGAGAAGCCAGGTTTGGCAGAAGTGTATGCTACACCAGAAAATGCATAGCGATCACAAATGATGCTTGTACCCGAGGCAAGGGTGGTGAGGATCTTACTTCTTAGTTCCCACCTGGCAACAGTGAAATATTATAAACATTAAAACTGAATTAACCTGCTTTTTGGAACATTATGTAACCAGATTTGATGGTGTTCAACACAAGAAAGGTCTGTTGAAAGTACTATGACATAAATTATAATGACATAAATTATAATGAAAATTGAAAGTACACTTTTGAATATTTGATGATCCTGATGTATCTCAATGGAATAAGAACCTGTTAGCAGAAAAAAGAAGGTGCACACTTTCGTCAGACATGTTTGATTTGCATTGCAGATAGCTGTCTATCATGCCTCCTATTTGAGTGCTTCTGTCTGGAAATCTGGAAAGCAATATCTTGGTATTGTTTCTATGTTTACAGTACTGCACTACAATCATTCGGCTGAGTCAACTTTACATAGATCCAACCGATCCCTAACTATTTCTGCTTCCTAGACTAGGTGACACTCGGATACAGGTTCCAAGACCAACAACCGTGTTTTCCAAACATAACTATAAGTTGGTCCGGTAACAAATTGGTCAGTTGAATGGTCCTTCATATCACTGTTGATTTCAAATTTGAGTTTAATTCATGTTGCCTGGACCAACTTATCGTTGATTTCAGTACCTTTTGAACTAATTTATTCCAGCCTTTAAACCATTCAAAAACCATACCAAAAATTTAGAAGTTGCGAAGATTTTCGATTTGAATGTACCTATACTGGACCGAGGATATAACTTTCACTGCACGAGTCACGACTATACAACATAATTATATCATACAATTTCATTCCAGTAATAAAATACAAATTATCAAATCTTAAGCTTGGATAATATGAGGTTAGTGTACTTTATTCAGAATAACTTTAAAATATCAACAAAACCTCATGTTAGTGCAGGGGAATCCTTCACACTGCAACCGTTTAGTAAGTTTCAGAACTTGTGTCGATTTTCCAGTTCCATCTGCTCCTTCTATAACAACAAAGATTCCACGCTTTAAAGCCATCCTATTAAGACATCCAATGTCACTTAATCAAATCAGAAGAAAACAGAGTGACTGGTGCTTTTATTCCTTACCTAACTCACCAAGTTCAAGTCCACTAACTGAGACAATTTTTCCATGGCTAAGTCCAAAGCCTCAATCCACATAGCTACAGGACAAGTAACTGAGTTGCCACTCTTGTGGAAAATATCTGCCAAACCATAATGAGGAAGATCTTCTTCATATTTCACACAAACCTGGACTTAGGAAAGAGGAGTTGTTAACTGAATTAAGAGTTCAGGACTTGATTAATTTTATGGAATTCGTTTAGTTCCATGACAAAGAATTAATACATATAAAATAGTGATTTTTCAATTTCTTATCACTTTCTATAGAAAGTTCTTTCTAATTCTATTATAGGTAGAAAGAACCAAGCATACTGAAGTGACTAGAAATTGTATTATTTAAGTACTAAAAAAAGGCGAAATTTGTTCAAAAATTGTCCAATACTGTCCTAATCACACTGCCATGCAAGGAAGTGAAATTATTATATTAAACATCTGCAGACATCATACTAGATACTCAATAGTGCAATAAGTGAAAATAATGTCACTGCAACCCAGTGACAGAAATCAGGGATGTAATCCCTAGACAATTTGATCTTGTTATTGGTAGGTAGTCATTAAAACTGGCCATTAAATTATCACTTAGAATCCTTCTTACACACTTCCTAAGATTCCTGGAAATCGCCATTGAGGAATGAATAATTCAGGAATCTATGGCAATTCAACACACATCTAGCCACAAAGAATCAGCCAAGAAACGAGCATGTACAAGGATTTCAATATTTCATTTGACTGGTAGCCGAGTGGTTAAGTGTGTGGCTGAAAATGTCCAGATTGGAGATTGTGATATCGAATACACGCTAATTTTCTTTTTTTAAATGTTCAAAATTTGTTTAAAATATCAGCCATTTTAGAGTCAAATTACGACCTTTTTTACTTACAAAGCTGTTGCAGATGTAAATTTGCATAAATCAGATTTTCTCATTCTTGTCTATGAAACTTTTGCCACCAGGTTAGAGACTTGGAACACCTCAAGGGACCCATACGAAACGAATTTTGGCTAGGGTATACATTTTTGGCGCAGGCAGTATTGTACAATTTGCACACTCTTTTTTGGTGCTTTTGAGACATTTTAATCAGAATAACTCTAAAGGATTGACAAAAACTATGATATATAGAAGACCATTGACTGACCTGTGTTTTAGGAAAAGACAGTAGTACAACATAATAAAAACTGAATTCTGTACAGTAATTATTATAATCATGAGTACAGTAAATCAACGAGCTTTAAAGCAGCGATTTCTGAATTTTCAAAATAATTTCGATTTGCATGGCGGTAAGCTGGTCCAAAGTTTGAATCTTACCTCACATTGAAGATTGAGGCTCTTATCAGCAACGAATACCTTCAAGGCTTGAGTGCTAAGATCAAAACCAAGATAATATTTCTGAGCCATTCTGCAACTTATGATTATGAAGTTAATATTCAAAATATTACTCAAGAACTATAAAATCGTATATTCAGACATTAGAAAAGTTCTGAGTATTCTCCAAGTGAATGGTAACTAACTTTATTCGTGGTTTAAATAAGAAATGAAATGCTACCTTACAAGCTATGTACTCAAGGTTTGAACTTTTACATTTCTACAGTTTTGAAACACAAGCAGATTTCTTCACAACATAACATTATAAATAATGCCTCTCTGGGCATCTCAACAAGATATTCACAGAAAATGTACAATTTACGTTTAAACCATATAATTACAAACTTTAAAAAATTCAACTAAATACCTTTGATATTAACCTTCTTCCTCTTAGCTATCATTAGATTCTCTTTCATATAACTTATATAACTATTCCTTTTAGACACAGACTCATCTATCCTATCAAAGATGTCATATGACAGCTCCCAGTAGTAGCCAAGCTTATTAGCCTGATATCCTTGAAGCCGAAAGGCGTCTAATCCACTTTTGAATCCAGTAACCGACTCACTAGCTTTCACAAGTGGTGGTAGACTGTTCCAGTAGCGCAAGACCCTTTGGGCAAAGAAGTCAGTCTCATTCGTGGTAAATCTGTGTGGCTTCGACCTAGCAGAGACAGTCCTATCAGCACGACCAAATAAATCAAACCCATAATCCACAAAGCCTTCCTGGATCTTGAACATCTCAATGAGATCCCCACGGACCCTACGTTCAAGCAAGGTTAATAATAATAATGGCCCCTAGGGTCAGCTGATCCCGGGCCAGAGGAAAACTACCGACTGCCAAGGTTTGACGCCTAGGCAGTCGAGACCTCTTATTGAGACCCTTTATAATAATAATAAATTAATGTTATTTTTATACAGCTCCAAAAGGTGAAATAATTTAAATTTAACCCTTATGCTCAGCTGTAAATGATACCTAAATTACAGTAGAGATCGTGTAAACATACACAAAGAACCCGATGATAGTGTAATCCTTTGCCCAATATGCAGCACAACAGCTGATCGTGGAGGGGATGTTGTTGGATGTGATGGTGTTTGTGGAAAATGGTTCCATGTTACATGCCTTTCAGAGAGCGATCAAGCAGTTTGTGAGGGATATTGGTACTGTTCCTCATGTTATGGTAAAGAGGCTTTCCCTGGCTTCCCAAGTTTTGTGAAGACAGCTGACTCAGCACCCGCAACATGGGGTTCGCTCAAGGGGCATGTTATTAAAGAGACATTTGACAATGCCTATGATAAATAATCAAGTGGAAGAAAAACCTGTTCAAGGTTCCTTCTGGTGTTCAAGGTAAAGCTTATGTGAAAGCGACCTCTAAAGTCATCAATTATTATGTTAACAACTCCCCCCTTCAAAATGTGGCCATGACTGCACTTATGGTTATGCCAGCCCTGCTCCTCCAAAAACCTTCCAAACGATCCAAAACAAAGGACCACGTCAGATATCTTGAAGATCGCCTCAAACTTTGGGAGAAAGGCGACATCAAGGGCCTCATCAAAGAAGGTAAAGCTATCCAGAAGCGTTTAACATCAAGCAAGTTTACTCCCCAACATACCCACAAAGTATTCTCCAAGCTTATGCTGCAAGGAAAGGTGTCAGCAGCACTCAGATGGGTGACAAATAAAGCTGGGGGCCTCCTAGAATCAACACCAGAAACTATCAAGTTGCTAGAGAGTAAACATCCTGACCCACAGCCTGATGAATCTTTCCTTGTAAGCAGTCTACTCAGTAAGGTTGGCTTGGAAAAAGTAGACAATGTTATATTCGAGAACATAGATATTGAAGCAATCCAGAAGGCAGCAAAGAACACCAATGGATCAGCTGGCCCCTCTGGCCTAGATTCTGATGGTTGGCAACGTATCCTTTGCTCTAAGTCATTCAAGACATGTGGTGCTGAGCTATGTGAATCAGTTGCCCTACTAACCAGGAAACTCTGCACTGAATTAGTTGACCCTGATCCCCTAGCAACGTTCATATCTTGCCACCTTATTCCTTTGGACAAGAAACCTGGTGTTAGACCAATAGGGATTGGTGAAGTCCTCCGCCGAATAATCGGCAAGTCAGTTACTACTCTGCTCAAACCAGAGATCCTAGCAGCCACTGCACCACTTCAAGCGTCAGCAGGCCTAGAAGGTGGAGTAGAAGCTGCTATTCATGCTCTTAGAAATATGTATGAAGATGAAGACACTCATGGTATCCTTCTTGTTGATGCAGATAATGCCTTCAACCGTTTAAACCGGAGAGTTGCCCTCCACAACACAAGTGTGATGTGTCCCGAGCTGTATAAATATCTTGTTAATACCTACAGAAAAGCAGCAAAACTGTACATACCAAACTCCAAGGGATTGTTTATTTTATCCCAAGAAGGTACTACTCAGGGGGATAATTGTGCTTCTGCATTTTACTCCTGTAGCCTGATGCCCCTTATGGACAAACTCCCCACAGAGCCACCAGATATCTCTCCCGTGGTCTGTGAGAACACGAAACCTCCCCAGAAGCCTCCAGAGGAGAACAATAAGATTGAGACACCACCAGATAGGACTCCGGAGGTAAATAAGCCCTCCAACAAAGCTGCTAAACACATATGGTTTGCAGATGATTCTGGAGCAGCAGGAAAGCTTAAAGCCCTGAAGATTTGGTGGGATTCCCTACAGGCATCTGGCCCTGTTTACGGCTATTTTCCCAAACCGTCCAAGACCTGGCTTATTGTTAAAGAGGAGTACCAAGAGGAAGCAAAGTCTCTCTTCCCCGACCTTAACATCACCACCGAAGGTTGTCGATACCTGGGTTCCTTTATAGGTACAGAGACTGGAAAGAATAATTTTATCCAAGCCAAATGTGTTGAATGGATAGAAGAGATCAAGGGATTGGCTTCAATTGCACGGCACGAGCCACACCTTGCTTACGCTGCCTTTGTTTACGGCTCCTCCTGCAGATGGTATTTCCTGATGAGGACCACCCCCGACATAGCAGTGAACTTGCAGCCCATTGAGGACAAGATCAGGAATTTGCTCATTCCCAACATGACAGGACACACAATCCGGTCTGACCTTGAGCGAAGTCTGTTCTCCCTCCCAGCCAAGTTAGGTGGACTAGCTATAATCAATCCAGTAGAAATTGCTGATACTGAGTACAAGAACTCACTCATGGCTAACCAGCAGCTTACAGAACACATTCTGAAGCAACACACCACTCTCAATACCTTAACAGAGAGGCTGGGAAAGCGGTCAAGAGTGCCATTAGCCTGTCAAATGCAAAGAGACATGAATCTCTCAAAAACCAGCTGATGAACGATCTACCACCTTTGATCAGTGAGAAGATCCCACATGCATGTGAAAAAGGTGCATCAAGCTGGCTGACCGGACTACCTTATGAGAAGTACGGATTTGTCTTGAACAAGCAAGGGTTCAAAGACGCTATAAGCACTGAGATATGCTCTACCCATTGCAAACATAGCCAAGAAATGCATTTGTGGCAAAGATAACACCTACAACCACATTCTCATTTGCAAGAAAGGAGGCTTTGTCAACAGCAGACACAACCGACTGAGAGACACCATTGCAAGCATTCTAGAAAAAATCTGTAATGAGGTTGTTGTAGAGCCCACACTCCAGCCATGCACTGGAGAAAGCCTTCGCCCTGGTACCATTCTGGATGATGGGGCAAGGCTTGACATTGCAGCTAGAGGTCTGTGGTCACCAATGGAGATGGCATTTTTTGATATCAGGGTTTTACACCCCGGAGCCAAATCCAACGCTAACCACAACACCCCAGCAAAGATGTACAAGAAGCATGAGAGAGAGAAAGAAAGGAAATATGGAGACCGCTGTGTACAGATCGAAAAAGGAACCTGCAGTGGCCTTCTATTCTCGACCACCGGAGGTATGGGCCCACAGGCTACCATGTTCCTTAAACGAGTGACAACACTTCTGGCAGCCAAGACCAGCCAGGACAAAAGCCTCATCATGGCAAATCTTAGACGTCGTTTGCGATTTGAGCTACTTAAAACAGTTTTGATTGCAGTGAGAGGACACAGAGGACGGTATTATGAGAAAGCAATACCTGTTGACGAACTGGACCTAAATCTCGCACACACCACCAGCGATGAAGACAGGGGTGATGATGTTGATGATGAAGATGAGGAAGTTTATGATGAGGTTGAGAATGTAGAGGAAGAGGTTGCAGAAGAGTGAGCTGAAAAGAAGACTAGATTCTATTCTAATTTATTGATGATCATATTTATTGAAATAAACATATAATATCCATTACTCCAGGAGTGATGACAGGATATGTAGAGATCGTGTATCTCGCCTTGGACTGGAGTAAAAACGGAAGTTAAATCCTGACTAAATAAGGCAGATACACCTAACAAGGTTGTGAGCTTCAAATTATCCAGTCTCTCTCTGTAGGTCATGAGGTCACCTTCCAATTCAAGAATCAGTGACCAGTTTCCATGCCTTGCCATCGGAGCCCATGCCTGCGAACAATATAATATTTCTTGTAAGCCAGGCAATGGTTCTATTAGCTTTAGCAATGCACTTTCTCACGTGATCTTCAAATTTAAAAGCACTGTTAAAGACCACTTCTTCTAATAAGAGAGTTTCAATGTTCAATGTGGTAAATGAACTAATAATATGATTATTAGGTAAATAGCATATTCAATATAATAACCAATGCATACATAGTAAGGAATTCTGGAAGGTAGCATAAAAATCCCATTTTATTGGATATTAATATCATAATAGTTACATGCAAAATCATATTATAAACTTCAATTTATAAGCCTAACATGCTTGCTTAAGAACCAGCAGGTCTTATCTCTTGAGCGCACACAATGCCACACCGATCCAGCGAATATAAAAAGTATTACATAAAAATAAAATACTATCAATTGTACCATATCAATATTTAAAATTAATCTTTCTGCCCGTTGAGTTGAAAATGTAATATTCAAGCTGATTAAGGTGCCAAGGGAAATGAATTATTTTTTACAAACAATTGCTTTTTTGGAATATTTCTAATGAAGTTTCAGTAAGCATTAATGATTGAGGGAGCGAGTTGTGTCAGTTATAAAGAGAAACATAACAATTATTTTTGGTTTCATCCTTATGTGTTGACCATTGTTAATGGTCTGGCCCGGCAAGCGCTACTTTGTAGCACTTGCTGCATCGGGCCAATATTTCGAGGAAAAAAATTTAGACTAGTAACATCCGTCAACCTTATGTGGCAAAGAAGCGTTTTATAAATTTTTATTCCACTGAGAAGTTTGATAATTTTTCTAAATATGATGATCGTTGACGGATGTTACTCGTCTAAATTTCTTCGAAGTAGCGCGCGCCGCTTCCTTCTCGAAATGTTGGCAAGTGCTACGAAGTAGCGCGCGCCGGGCCAGACCATTATGCATTAACAATGGTCAAAATAATCGACGATCGTTGCTATGCGAAAAGCAGTCCAACGATTTTAAAAATTGAAGGGTTGACATCATCAATAAATTTTTTTAAATATTGTATTTAAAAAATAATTAATGTTGGTGCGGGGAATATTTATTATATATTTTAAATAGTGCGATGGTATTTTAATAGTTGAGTAGAAGTCCTTACGGGCATTTTCTGCTCAATACGCTAGTGGCTACGGACCCTAAATACACTTTATATATTAATGCTTAAATGTTAAAAGACGTATTTTTGATTGTAGAATCGATAAAAAGTCATGGTTTTGGGATGATTTATAGCGCGATGCGTTACTGTGCCGCGCCGCGCACTCATTGAGGCTTCTCACAGATCGGCAAGATGCGCTATTGTGCCGCGCCAAGCTGAGATGAATTGACATCGTCAATTAAGGGATGATTGGACTAAGTTTTTTTGATATGTTGAGCAAGTTAACTTTGTTGGTATATCAGCAACATTTTCACAAAGATAGCTGAAATAGAGCTGCATGTGCAAAATATGGTATAAAAATAAAAGAAATTTATTAATTTTTCTTTAAGTAAAAATCCTAAAAGATGGTCAAATTGAGGCTTTTTTGCGCGCAATTTATTTTTGGTACTTAGGTGCTATATTTTGAAATTTCTTTCCATATATCTTGTAATAACGACTAATTTATATATATATTAAAAATAGTTCTGACCAAAAATTCATTTTAAATGGAACCAAGATTTTAGGCGCGCCGCGCATATTTTCGAAAATTTACACCGTAGTATGAAAATCGAGCGCTAAAGCAAATACTGTCATATTCTCACAAGTATACCCTAATAGTGTTATTGTTGCATTTCAAAACTCTTTTTCACTCTATTTGGTTATCTTTTTGATGTGTTATTTGATTACTTACTATGTTTTCATGTATTCTCATTAATGTGGAGTACCCATTCATTCTATTTCCTATCGTTTTTATTATATCCTTTATCCTCTATTTTTCTGCTCTATTTGTGACATACACAACAGTGATTTCTCTCCGTGGAGACAGAGGTGCGAGAAAAAACATTGTTGATATGAACAGTCTAGATTTTAACTTGGAGCCACAAGGCCAAGGGTAATTTTTGATTGTTAAGGGAATTTTTTGAATTCTTAAAGGGTTGATTTTACATAGGGTCATTGCTCTATTATGTGTATATTGTTTGAATAATTTTATTATTTAAAAAAATTTGTGACATACTTCTTATCTTCTCCATAGTTTATCGTAGTTTGTTAATACTGAATTGGTTTAATCGATCCTTTACGATTACACTGTTAGAAATGTTTAGTAAGATGTGACGGAATTATTGAAAGTAAAATATTTAAAGGGGTTGTGGCCATTTCGAAATATTCAAGGAGGTTATATTTATAAAATTGAAGGTCTTACACCAAATATGACTAGTTTTTTCGATAAATTTTCACACGTTCATTACGGGGCAGTCTAAATAGGAAAGTTTTTAGAAGAGCTTTAAAAGATTTCATAGATTAAGCAAATTGATTGTACATCTTAGGAGTCTCTTCACTGGGCCTTTCGGGGGAAACGAAAAGTGCATGGTTTCAAGACAATTACCATTGCTGAATTTATTTGTGTATGTTGTACTAAATAATTGTCTAAAAGTGCAAGTTATTGAAAAACCTGGGTATCGAGTCTGGGTATTAAGTAAAACAAAATTTAAGTAAAACAAAATTTAAATTTTATTGCCATTACAATGAATAATGATATCATAATAAATATAAGTAGAAATCCGATAATAAGCTTGTTACATCCAGTAGTATTGAGCGTCTTATTGTGATTGAATACAGCTTAGTACTTTCTTACATCAACCACTTAATGCGATTTGAGCAATAATAAATCAAATTTTTTGTACAACTCAGTCTGATTGTGAGGCAGAAGAAGAGGCCGGTATATCGAGGCACCCAGTATAGATTGGCTCGGTTGATGGCATGCATACATGCTACATGCTACATGAAGAGGTCTCCTCCTAGTCGTTGGAGTGGCCTGCATCACACACATCTCTTCTACGGTGTATCATGTGCCTCCATTCCACTCGTTGTAGAGCTAACTGTTTTACTGCATCTCTGCTGATGTTATCAACACCTGTAAAGTCAGCTGCATCCTCAAGTACACAGGCCATCCAGCCTTTGCGGGTCGTCCTCTCAGTCTCTTTCCATAGTTTGGTTTCCAATCCAGTAGAAAATTGGGAAACCGTGTCTCTGGCATTCTGACAACGTGTCTGTACCACCTTAGTCTAGCCGAACCGATGAAAGTTTCAATAGACTTAATTCCAGCACGCCTGAGAACTTCTTCATTGGAGACATGGAAAAACCACTTTATCTTCAAGATTCTTCTCAGGGAGGTCAGATGGAAGACTTCAAACCGTTTCATCTGCTTCTTTGTTGTGTTCCACACTTCAGCTCCATATAACAGAATAGTGATAACAGCAGCCTTGTAGATACGGATTTTGGTGGGCGTTCTTATAGTTCTACTGTTCCATATCTATCAAAGCTGATGGAACGCACCATTAGCACGCTGGATCCTAATGTCAAGATCTTGGTCAATGGTTCTATCCCCACTGATGTTGGCACCAAGATAAACAAAGTTACCGACCTGTTCAACAGGTTCTCCCTCCACTGTTAGCTTTATACTGTCTCTGTCGGTGTAAGGTCGCTGGGACGCACACTTGCTGATCGCCATGCATTGTGTCTTTTTAGCGTTGATCTTTAACCCAGCATAAGAAGTGTAATAAGCGATAAGATCAGTGGACTCCTGCAGCCCCTCTTCAGTACTGTCCATCACTGCCAGATCATCAGCATAGTCACTATCCATGATAACTTTTTCATCTTGATGGCATAAGGAGGTTTTAAATTTTACTGCACAAATGTGATCTAAAACATTCAAGTCGTATAATTAATTTTTTTTTGTATATCCTGTCATCACTCCTGGAGTAATGGATATTATATGTTTATTGTAATAAATATAATATTGAGTTTACTAGCGTATATATGACGCTTTGCCCTTGTCAGAGGGTCTATCATTATGAGTTTAGATTGAAATTGTCTAATCTCCTCTGAATTGAATACAAATAACACACGTTATTGCCGACGTTTCGCCACCATGGCTTCTTCAAGGCGGAACAAAAACTTTGTTACATAGTGACCTGGTAAATATCCAAATTAATACATAAAACTCTGAGAAACATTAAAATAAAATGGGAAGATTCTAAGCGGTAGAAAATTTCAAAGCAAAAGATAGTCTTGTTTAAAAATAACAAGACGGCCATGGGGAAACATTATCTCATGTCACACCCTGAAATAAAAGAAATTCCTATTGAACCATTTAAATTTGAAGTCCTCAAAGTATGTAAGGATTATGCAGACCGAATGATCTGGCAATCACTGTATATCAAGCAGTTACTTCCTAAAATAAACACTCAGCTCTCACCTGAAGCAGACTTGTGGCAAAAGACCACATGGGCTATTATGTAAATGTCATCAACATGTACGTGGCACCCTTTCAGTTTCCCCGAAAATTTTAGGGAGTAGGAAGCTATTTTTGTTGCTGTTTTGTGTACGTTGGTCTAGCTCTCAAATATTGGACAGTTCTAGATTCTTTGGCCTAACATCTATCTTTTGCTTTGAAATTTTCTACCGCTTAGAATCTTCCCATTTTATTTTAATGTTTCTCAGAGTTTTATGTATTAATTTGGATATTTACCAGGTCACTATGTAACAAAGTTTTTGTTCCGCCTTGAAGAAGCCATGGTGGCGAAACGTCGGCAATAACGTGTGTTATTTGTATTCAATTCAGAGGAGATTAGCCAATTTCAATCTAAACTCATAATAAATATAATAATCAATAAATTAGAATAGAAACTTGTCTTCTTTTCAGCTCACTCTTCTGAAACCTCTTTCTCTACATTTTCAGCCTCATCATCAACTTCATCATCTTCATCATCAACATCATCACCCCTGTCTTCATCGTTGGTGGTGTGTGCGAGATTTAGGTCCAGTTCGTCAACAGGTATTGCTTTCTCATAATACCGTCCTCTGTGTCCTCTCACTGCAATCAATACTGTCTTAAGTAGCTCAAACCGCAAACGACGTCTTAGACTTGCCACAATGAGGCTTTTGTCCTGGCTGGTCTTGGCTGCCAGAAGTGTTGCTACTCGTTTAAGGAACATGGTAGCCTGTGGGCCCATACCTCAGGTGGTCGAGAATACAAGGCCATTACAGTCGTATAATTAATACTGTTATGTCGACTAAACTGTCTCCAGACACCTGTCACGTATGTCGTACATTTTGAAATCCTTTTGACGATATATAGGTACTTTTTGACATGAGAGAGTTGGCAATCAGGGAAACTAGTAGCATCTTAACCCCACTTATTAATCATAGATTAATTAAACTAGCAGGAACCCGTATAACCCTAAAGTGGTGTCAAGACTCAAAAGAATAAAATAATTATTACCTATATAGTTCGCGTTTTTAACACCACTTGGGGGTCCAAATTTTGGGCTCTAAAACTCCTATTCCTTGACCAATTTTTTATTTTTTCATGCTGATTTGGAGGCCATTAAAGCATTTGACCCAGTCAAAAAAGTTTCAGTTGCTGGTTCGTTCTCAAACGGCCTTTGGTACATTTTCTTTAAGAGAAATTGATAAGGCTGTACTGATCTGTTAATTTATCACGATTATGATCCTGACGAGAGTAATGCACATGATTATGATCAGTTTGATCACGATTATGATCCTGATCCTGGCGACGAAAATGATCAGTTTGATCAAGATTATGATCCTGATCCTGGCGACGGAAATGATCAGTTTGATCAAGATTATGATCCTGATCCTGGCGACGAAAATGATCAGTTTGATCACGATTATGATCATGATCCTGGCGACAGAAATGATCAGTTTGATCAAGATTATGATCCTGATCCTGGCGACGGAAATGATCAGCTTGATCAAGATTATGATCATGATCCTGGCGACAGAAATGATCAGTTTGATCAAGATTATGATCCTGATCCTGGCGACGAAAATGATCAGTTTGATCAAGATTATGATCCTGATCCTGGCGACGGAAATGATCAGTTTGATCAAGATTATGATCCTGATCCTGGCGACGAAAATGATCAGTTTGATCAAGATTATGATCCTGATCCTGGCGACGGAAATGATCAGTTTGATCACGATTATGATCCTGATCCTGGCGACGAAAATGATTAGTTTGATCACGATTATGATCCTGATTAGGGTAGTGCACATGATTATGATCTCTATGATCACGATTATGATCCAGAGTTCGGGATGCACATTTTACAGTCAACATTTATTTATTATAATTCATCATTGAAACAGCATTGGTTACTGGGCGGTGTTGATAGCACTGGCAGAATCGTGAGAATTTAGTAATTGTTTAGTCTCAAACAAAGCACATACAATCTCACTCCTGTTGTTATTGCAGCTTGTTTAAGTAGTTGTACATTACCGGCCCTTGTTAAAGCAATTTGCCCTATAGCTATAATACTGCTCATAATTAGGACTACTATTAATTTTGCTGTTCACGATTTGGGTGCACCAATTTTTATAGATTTCAGCCAATAAATATGAAGAGTAGGTCTAAACTACACATTCCACGAATAACAGCTCAATATTGAGAACTCAATCAGCTTTCAATAGTGTAATTTTGATTTAAGCCTTTTTTAATTTGGCAGCCAAATTCCGAATTTCGCTGGGCAAATTCCCTTATAATAAAGCAACTCTAATCTTTTGGAGCTAATAATGATTTACATTTTTTTTGATAATCAGCTTATCATTTAACTAGAAAGCCCGTGATCGCAGGGTAGGGAGGAAGTTAATAGTATTCTTTGGTAGTCATTTTTTATAACATAAAAAATATCCGTCACAACCGAGTATACAGCCCATTGAACATGTAACGTAATAATACCACAAAACCGATAAAAATGACGTCAAAACAATCATTGCACGTGCATGTGCGCGTGTGTGTTGGTAAATTCATTTTTCAAACGGATTTGTCTGGATTAGTATACAGTGCTTTATAAAGTGCTTTCAAATAGTTGACCAGCTGAGCCCTGGGCAGATATTACAACTGACACTCCAATAATGTTAAGCTTGTTTAAATTCATGTACTTGTTAAATTTTAACGAATTTAAGGAGTGTGTTACATTAATTCCTCTTCGGCTGTAGTACCTCCAATAAATATATCTGTGTCATCGTACATTGCTTATTGTTAGCCCAGTCATATTGTTTGTTTTTTGCATTGATTGACAAATCTATCAAACTGTTTTTATGACTGCTCAATTGTTTTCTCGATTTCTTGAATTCAGTCCACTAATTCATAGTTCTGTATTAGTTTAAAGCTTTTTTTTGCCTTATTTCTTTTAAAAAGTGTCTGATTTTCATATCCGTTTTCTTCTGTTCTCGAGGTTTTCATTTAGAATTAAAACAAGGGTTTCATATTATGGAGCCAGGTTGTGGACTGGCTACACCTGTACTTACATACTATAGTACACTACTGACTACAGTCAAACCCAGATAGTTTGGGAGTTCGTGTTAAATTGGAGTTTGTTTGTTTGTTCAGATTGTGCATGTTTTTAAGGCCCAGATACACTCTTGAGTCCTAAATTACTGTTAGTACCCTGCACTACTGGTTACTCTTATAGTCTATCCTGATAAGTTACGGAACATTTTCAAGGGCTCTTGGGCAGTTGCAATCAGATGGATAGAATGGGTTAATATTGATTAACCTTTTACCTGACACCTTCTATATCAGGCTGCTGGTTTATTGGCAATAAGCTTAATGTAAGGGTGGAATTCTGTATTTGGGCTGTATAGTTTTTATCCATGTGGAGTTATTGTTTGGTTCGATTCAATTACAGTTTCGGTACACTTACCTAGAAAATATGTCATGCAGCAATTATACGTACGACCAGCGACATTTTGCTGTAAAAAGTATCTCTCTTTTCGCGCTAGCCCGCTCATTTCAAATATGCGCGCGCAAACTTTTATTAGGTGACGAAAGGAATAGATACTCTATTTTATACAGCCCGCGTGATGACTCACTATTTCCGTTAAACACTGAGTTTTTTCTGGAATAACGAACAACACATTAACATTTCTCTGCTTTAGCCATGGAGAACATAACAGACCAGGAGCTGAGGCGGCTACTGTCGAGCAAGGGCCACCAGATCGGTCCGGTGACTAACACCACTAGGAGTATTTACCAGAAACTGTACACAAAGCTGCTAGAAGAAGGTAAATACAGTAAACTATGTTTTCTTGTATTGAATAACACACTGTCAGGGTTATGAAAACTCCTTGTAGAGTTGCTCTGTTAAGATATAAGAGCCGACTTTGTAAACTTATAATTCTTCAGAGGATATAGAAGTAAAGTTGGGATCCCCCATACTGAGTCCTAGACCTGACCCAGCTAGCACCCCAGTCCTACGAAACAACAAACTCAAGAGATCACCCTTAACTTTGACTGATGATGAGAAGTTGTGCGAGGCCACCTTCTCTATTCCTGACGATAAAAAGAAGAAAGGTATTTACAGCACACAATGAAATCCACAATTATCCTCTGGGTTATCTTCTAATTAACAAATCCTTGATTGATTAAGGAAAAGCTCGAACTTCTAGATGCCCTCTTTTACTTTAGCTCTTGCCTTTTTGCATTTGATTGAAGCATCTAAGCAGTGAATACCCACTAGTTGAGGAAGAAGAGGATATATCAGACGCGACACCTCACTCCTTATATGGGCATCACGTGGGGACACCTCACTCCTTATATGGGCATCACGTGGGGACACCTCACTCCTCACCCACAACAAAGGACACAACTCACCCCATTTCTAACATCACTTCAGGGCTCAATAGAGTCCGCTTCAGAGGTGACAGTCTCCCTGCTGTAATGTAGCTATGTAGAGGTGACAGTCTCCCTGCTGTAATGTAGCTATGTAGAGGTGACAGTCTCCCTGCTGTAATGTAGCTTCAGAGGTGACAGTCTCCCTGCTGTAATGTAGCTTCAGAGGTGACAGTCTCCCTGCTGCAATGTAGCTTCAGAGGTGACAGTCTCCCTGCTGTAATGTAGCTTCAGAGGTGACAGTCTCCCTGCTGCAATGTAGCTTCAGAGGTGACAGTCTCCCTGCTGCAATGTAGCTATGTACAGAGGTGACAGTCTCCCTGCTGTAATGTAGCTTCAGAGGTGACAGTCTCCCTGCTGTAATGTAGCTTCAGAGGTGACAGTCTCCCTGCTGAAATGTAGCTTCAGAGGTGACAGTCTCCCTGCTGTAATGTAGCTTCAGAGGTGACAGTCTCCCTGCTGAAATGTAGCTTCAGAGGTGACAGTCTCCCTGCTGTAATGTAGCTATGTACAGAGGTGACAGTCTCCCTGCTGTAATGTAGCTATGTACAGATTTATGAGAGGTCACATGAATTATAAAATCAGCTCACGAGCATGTATATATTCAGGCCCTTCACACTTTGTTTCTGTCTGGTTCTAATGTACCGTCACAAAGTGACTTTAATATATTGCATGATGCACTCTGAAGCTGCCTTTTATTGTAATGAGCTTTACTTAAATGCTGTAGCATTGTGATTATATTTAACAAGTATAGTCATCTTGATCATAATTCCTAACTACGAAAAAGATGAAAATCTTAAACTAGGATTTAGCAGAATAAGAAGAGATGCATCTCTATCCTAAAGAGACTGTTATCTTGATATTATAATGATAGCACGGATTGTATATCAATTTGTTATGTTTGCACACGTGTACGTTTCAACATTAGAATAACTAATTCTGAATCAGCTTTATTTTTTATCACCCAATAGTCAATCTTTACTTCTTTCTGTCACAATTCAAATCAGCATCCATTAATTTGATACATCAATTTCAAAGACTTTATTGCTTGTAAAAATCCTTTAAATTGCTGCTTTCTTTACAATTTTGAACTTGTTGCCAGAGTTACTCTGCATTTGTATGTAAAAAATCAAGCACACATTTTGAGTATTAGCTATTAAAAGCCGGGCCGGGCTGACACAGAATGTTTGTCAGGTATCCCAACCTACCAAGTGCCCTCACTACGACGCAGCACAATTGAGCGCACAGCACTCAGTAAGAAGCTTGCGGAGGAAGCGGTCTGTGTAACAAGTAGTGTAACTATGGTAACCAGCACCACTAAGAAAGGTGTTTTAAGGGCCCCAGGGGTTAGAGTGACCGAGTCTTCTGCTACTCTCAAGGAGAAAATTGGTAATTTTTGTTGAACTTTTTCATTAATTGTTTTAAAAATGAGTGTTTGAGAATGAAAAATTCCGCTACTTTTTCGTCTTTGGTTTTCTCGTTTATATTCTAGTAACTTCTAGTATTGGAACCGACCATAAGAAGCAACACCATACAAAAGTTTACATTTTACTGATTCCAGATGCTGCTGCGAAATCAGAGACTAAAGCTCCCAGCAAAACATCTGCATTTTCTAACACAAACAAACTCAACGTTACCAGTAAACTGAACGTAACGTGAGTCACTCTTTTCACTGTCTTAAGTATATTTGACTTGCGGTACTTCTTTAGAAGTGAAACACATTAAAGTCTCAGAATGTCTCAACAGAATGTCAATACCAAATAAACTCGATTAGCAGACAGCTAATTGACAGCTAAACCTTTACATTTTCAGTATGGGTAACATGGGTAACATTTTCAGTATGGGTAACACGCCAGGTTACATGAAAGGAACAAGCTCCACATTAAAGAAAGGCTCTAAGAAAGACGCTGTTAAACCTGCCAGCGCTATTTCAGCTAACAAGAAAAACGGTAAGTTCACCCCTTCACGCCGTTATTTTAATCAGTATTTAATGATCAGAAACATTATAACTTAACCTTACAGCTCAATGTTATGGCAAAACATGCTAGAATCCGTAATCCGTCTCCAACATATACTCCCATTTGCCATCAATATCCACATGTTTACCTTTACCGTGTCTCTGAACTATAAAGATAAGAGTGAAGACCAGAATGGAGAAGCAAGTAATCCCGCACACCAGATAGTTGATCAGGTCCTCCTGTACATCTGACAAGTCTGTCTGCTGTGTTCTCTCGCTGAATAACGACTTTCTTTCTAACACTACTGTCATATCGTTTATTATTATGATCCGCCCTGACCCTGAACGTTTGCACATGTAGACCATCACAAGGAAATAGAAGCTAACAGGAAAATTCGTCTAACAACAAAAATATTTAAAATTATTTATTATATGTCTTTCTTTAGCAAACAGAGTATAGATATACTCCGTCTGCTATAGACAGTTCAATCCCTGGCTCTCTGATACAGAATCAATACTAGAGTAATTTGTATCTAGGCCTATTTGTAGAGCCACTTTTATCTTTTTATCAAAGTTTTGATCATTATAAAATTAAAGAAATACCATTTTTTATTTTTACCTGGTTGACGAGCGGTTTTATTTTTGCCACACCAAGGCCTGGTACCGAAGCTGTCGTAGCTAAATGTTGTACCTGTGTGGGCAGTATAGTAAACAAGCCTCAAACAACCTCAAACAAACCTCAAACAAACCTCAAACAAACCCCAAACAACCTCAAACAAACCTCAAACAACCTCAAACAAACCTCAAACAAACCTCAAACAAACCTCAAACAACCTCAAACAAACCTCAAACAAACCTCAAACAACCTCAAACAACCTCAAACAAACCTCAAACAAACCCCAAACAAACCTCAAACAAACCTCAAACAACCTCAAACAAACCCCAAACAAACCTCAAACAACCTCAAACAAACCTCAAACAAACCTCAAACAACCTCGGGGGGGGGGGGGGGGGGGCCAACCATAATAAAGTATATTAAAGTATATCCCCGGGTCAAAATCGGAAAAAATCCTACATTTTAATATACTTTAATATACCTACAATTAGAAGATTTATATTCTTCGTTAAGATTTACATGATGAACTATATTTTTCACTCAGATTCGCAAGATAAGCCTGTTTTAGGACTAGTACATGAATTTCCATCCAGATTGGTCAAAAATTGGCTGAGCTATGAGCTTTAAAAAATATGCCCATATTTGGGCATACGCTTTTGCCCAAATTCGCTTTTGCCCAAATTCGATAAAATTTCAATATTTTTTAATGAGACTAACTCTATGTGAAAGATATAACTCAGTGTTTGTTGAATATAGTGGATACTAAGTAAAAAGACCTCCATGAACAAAATTGGGAAAATTGCACATAATATCTCTGTTAGGAATACTAGCCAAAATGACTTCATTAAAATTGAAATAACTCTATCAGTTTTCAATATTTTTTCAAGAACTTTTTGGAATCGATTAAGAATTGCATTTCAAGCTTATTTTGGGTAACAATTTTCGATGTAGGCCTCCAAGGATAGGGATATATTAAAGTATATTGTAGGTATATTAAAGTATATTAAAGTATATCCCCGGGTCAAAATCGGGAAAATCCTACATTTTAATATACTTTAATATGGTTGGCCCCCCCCCCCAACCTCAAACAAACCTCAAACAACCTCAAACAAACCTCAAACAACCTCAAACAAACCTCAAACAAACCTCAAACAAACCTCAAACAAACCTCAAACAACCTAAAACAAACCTCAAACAAACCTCAAACAAACCTCAAACTACCTCAAACAACCTCAAACAAACCGCTCTTCTGTCTAAGACTATAAGAGTCAAGCTAGATGATGCTGTTAACAAACCATACCAAGTACCTGTTACACAGCTACCAAACCATACCCAGTACCTGTTACACAGGTAATGTTGGTGTCTCCATCTAGAAGCTCCTTATTTGTCTTGTCACAGTAAACTGAGATAACATCTCCTGTCTTTATGGGGAATGTAACGTTAGTTGTCACGTAACTCCATGTCTTGTCTATTGCGTAACACTCATCTGTTGGGTTAGAGAGATCTTGTAGGGGGGGGGGATGTTACCAGTTACATGTTATCAGTTATCAGTTACCAGTTACCTGTTACCAGTTACCAGTTATCAGTTATCAGTTACCTGTTGCAAAGCAAGGTCGTTCAGCCACACTCAATAGAGTTTGGTATTCCAGTGTGTAATTGTCCAACATCAGACTGCAGTTGCTTGTCAGAGTAAAGTTACTTTTTTCTAGCGGATTGGCGGGGCTGAGACCTATTGCTTTACAGCTGAGGAAATAAAGAATGAGGAGCTGTAATACCTGTAATACCTGTAATACCTAACTACCATTATCAGTGGATCAGGTTTAAAAACATAATAAAGCCACACATGTCACCTACAAGATAACCGGGATAAATAACATACTTGGATCTGATATAAATAAAGTTCATTTGGGTAAGTAGGAAAGGTTAGGCTGGTAATCTTACTCTGTGTGATTTAAACACAGTTCAGCACAGTATTCCGGGGTAGTAAAGGGGTGTTCCATTTCCTTGCTTGCAGCAACTTTCAAACCTTCCTTAAAACAATCCTCATCTTCTAAACCTGATAATGGCACTTCTGAGCACCGCCAAGTTTCATCCTTCATGTCCAAAATGGCTAAATACAGATACAATGATAAAGAAGCTGTTTGTCAGTAATATTTCTTTTTTGATTTTGAAACAATAAGTGATCAATTGGGTCCCCCCCCGCCATTACTATATCCAAATATTCTGAAGAAAAAAAGATGTCTCACCCGTTGTAAATGTGAGAAATGTTTCAATACAGGTTCTGTCCGCTGTAGCCCACAACAATCTACCATCATGTAAAGTGTAACCAGTTGAATAAGAGTAACATTTAGTATCGTTTACTGGTTCTGATGTAGTATCAGTAGTAGTATCAGTAGTAGTATCAGTAGTAGTAGTGGGTGTTATTACTGCTGCTCCGCACCTGAAATAGATACAGCTCGCTCCATAAATGTCCTAAATCACAGTGTCTTGTGTTAGACCTTACCATCATGACCCACCTTTAATTATTATTCTCAGAAGTTGAGCTTATTTCAAAACAAAATAGAAACCGGTATGTTTCTTATTTTTCTCTGATCAGTCTAACAAAAGAACAAGCTGCTATATTAATGTGTAGACTCTAGAAATAACGTCTTACGTGGTGTTGTTATAACAGAGTTCCACACATTCAACCTCAGTAGTGAATTGTACCTCATTTATTACGGTACCCTCCACGTAGGTTACAGGGCCGTTAAAACACATAGATTCTTCTGTAGTGTTGTCTGAGGAGTCCTCACTCTCTTCTACTCCTGAAATGGCGTTTCTCTTGCCGCTTATATGTAATGTATATCGTATGTTATATTTATTAAATGGTTGTGTATTTCATGATTAGCCAAATATCCAGAGGCGTATGTGTTATGTTCTGCGTAAAATCCAGATTTACACACACTTATATTTTTGTTATTTCGTAATTCCGTGAAAGTTTTTTTGTTAAATATCGACTGAATAATCAGACTTCCGGTCACCATTCGCAGGATAAGTTCAGTACTATTTGTGTACTCAAACATAAGGAAGTAAATCATTTTAAAATTAGCTGATAATATACCTTAAAGTAGATAACATACCTTAAAGTAGATAACATACCTTAAAGTAGATAACATACCTTAAAGTAGATAACATACCTTAAAGTAGATAACATACCTTAAAGTAGATAACATACCTAAAAGTAGATAACATACCTTAAAGTAGATAACATACCTCAAAGTAGATAACATACCTTAAAGTAGACAACATACCTTAAAGTAGATAACATACCTTAAAGTAGATAACATACCTTAAAGTAGATAACATACCTTAAAGTAGATAACATACCTTAAAGTAGATAACATACCTTAAAGTAGATAACATACCTTAAAGTAGATAACATACCTTAAAGTAGATAACATACCTTAAAGTAGATAACATACCTTAAAGTAGATAACATACCTTAAAGTAGATAACATACCTTAAAGTAGATAACATACCTTAAAGTAGATAACATACCTTAAAGTAGATAACATACCTTAAAGTAGATAACATACCTTAAAGTAGATAACATACCTCAAAGTAGATAACATACCTCAAAGTAGATAACATACCTTAAAGTAGATAACATACCTTAAAGTAGATAACATACCTTAAAGTAGATAACATACCTTAAAGTAGATAACATACCTTAAAGTAGATAACATACCTTAAAGTAGATAACATACCTTAAAGTAGATAACATACCTTAAAGTAGATAACATACCTTAAAGTAGATAAAATACCTTAAAGTAGATAACATACCTTAAAGTAGATAACATACCTTAAATTAGATAACATACCTTAAAATAGATAACATACCTTAAAGTAGATAACATACCTTAAAGTAGATAACATACCTTAAAGTAGATAACATACCTTAAAGTAGATAACATACCTTAAAGTAGATAACATACCTTAAAGTAGATAACATACCTTAAAGTAGATAACATACCTTAAAGTAGATAACATACCTTAAAGTAGATAACATACCTTAAAGTAGATAACATACCTTAAAGTAGATAACATACCTTAAAGTAGATAACATACCTTAAAGTAGATAAAATACCTTAAAGTAGATAACGTACCTTAAAGTAGATAACATACCTTAAATTAGATAACATACCTTAAAGTAGATAACATACCTTAAAGTAGATAACATACCTTAAAGTAGTTAACATACCTTAAAGTAGATAACATACCTTAAAGTAGATAACATACCTTAAAGTAGATAACATACCTTAAAGTAGATAACATACCTTAAAGTAGATAACATACCTTGAAGTAGATAACATACCTTAAAGTAGATAACATACCTT